AGATAAGCATCTCACATCCTTAGGTGGCACAATGACGAGTGAGGAGCTCATGGTTGGGATACTGGTTGATAATGAAGGGGGACGTTTTAAGTCCAATCAGGAGTGCATATGTGCCTGTTCAACTCTCCTATAAACAATTGAAACGGTTCTCACACTGGGAAAAGCGGAGAGAGGGAAAAGTTTCCCCGGATATTAGTGCAACCTTTTCATCTGTGGTACCTTGTACATTGTCGGGACAGATCAAAAACCTTCAACATCCCCTCTGAGGATGAACGCCGAGCCGGGTCTCGGAATCCTTCCGGGTGTCGACTTCCAGTATGTGTACTTATCTGCTTCTGAAGATCCTAGTCGGAAGGAAGACTGTGGATCAATATTAGATTCCTCTCCGACGGTATAATAGGTATCTTCAGACCCTAAGTATTGATGTGGAATTATAGTATGCCGGTGGATAATAAGATAGACTGGGATCTCTATGTCCTGACTGGTCGAATCAATCAGAAACTAGTGAAAAGCAGGTATCTCTGCAGGTATCTTGCATGACGGAGATGTTTCTCCTGTCGGGTGATTTCCTATGATGTCAAAGAAAACACAAGGGATGACTTGGATTGGTTTGTAATTGAATTTCAAACGTCGATATTGACAAAAGCAGAAAAAGAAAGGGATCTTGAGTCAACATCAAAAGGTAATTCTGCACTAAAAAAAGTTGCTCTACTGATCTTCTTCAACCTCCGATCATGAAGATCCCTCTTTAGCCATGTCTTGATACCCACCTCCTCGGCCGCGACGATTATACACACCCACGGGTTCTTGCTTCTGTAAGCCCCCAAAATCACACGACCCTTTAACCTGACGCGGCCATCAGATTCTTTTTGACTCTGCAGATTTGTGGGACCTCATGGGCCTGTGAAACCCCTGGTCTCTTTGACAATGAGCTCGGCCCCCCTGGTCTCTCTCCCCTTTGGGGGATCTTCTACTCAGTCACGGTCGAGATTCGATGAGGTTCGACGATATACGATCCAGAACATTGGCCGTGACGATGATCCAATCCTTTTCAGGCCAATGAGTCGGAACTTGCGCAACTAATGTGCCAATCTCCCGCGATATACCCACCCAGGGGGAATGTACCTTATCTATTCATCATTCTGATTGTCGGTTTCATACCTCTGTTCATCATCCACTGTTGCCAATCAACTTTGCCGATTGACCATCCTGGCAAAATGGCAAAACCCGTGAGGACCTGGCATGGGGATGGCGCCGCTACGGCTACACGGGATCATCATGACCCAAAAGAAATCCCCTCCAATGCAGTCTCATTGGGCCTCTCACTCTTCTTGATATGGTCCGTGTGCTGCCCAGCAAATTGGAAAGGTCTTTTTTTTATCTTTTTATTTTTAATCCTGTCTCTAACCGAGAGGATCTTTGTAAATAGATGAACTCCTGCATCCCAGATTCCGTGTCCACCGTCTCTTTTATATTGATTTGTCTTGCCTTACGTCTTGTCTCCCTCGCCCTTCCTCCGAGGTTGCATATGTCCTTATTTTCCGATACAATATCCTATATCTAACTATGTACGAAGTACACATGACATAGTTGTCATTCCTGGGACTTCCTCCGATCTCAACCCCTCTCCCCGAGAAGCTCTAGATCTGGCGTGCATGTTCATGCCAGTTCATTTTTGTGTTATTTTGTGCCAATATCAGTGTCTCTTCTTTCTACTTTGAATGAGGTGAGCTCACTATCTGTTTGGCTGCCGAAGCTCACAAAGTCCCGGCGACAAGATCTCTCCCCATGTTATCCCACATAGCTGACTGTTGCTGGGTTACAGTTGACCACCTGGGCACATGAACCGCGCTACCCGTGCTTTTATCGAAGAGCTCGGTTACCCAGGGGGTCTGTGAGCTCTACTGAGTAACCAAGAAGTAGATGCCAGTTTGAGAAAAAGGATTACACCAAAATGGCGGGAGGTTATTTTGACCTTCCGATCTCCCGCAGCGCCTCTGATGAAGGATCGTCAAATCTCTCAAGGTCGCGTTCTTTTACATCACTGCCTAGTGATAGCTTCCAAGGTCAACCAGTGTCTGAAGTGCGGAGCTTCAGTGACGCTAGCGCCCAGGACAAGTATCGGAATGCAGGCATTCTGAAAAGCACCAATCGTGTCAAGCTTACGGCCAGTGAGTCCGAGCCGAGAGAATCCACTGGGTCCATGGTCGAATTCCGACTGGATCGAAGGGGCACCGAGCTGCCGCAAAGACCATTACCCACTGCCAGCATTCCGGGCTTCCAGGGAAAAGTCTTCTCAAGCTCCCAATTAACACCGGGGCTGGAAGACGATCACTCTCGCACGTCAGTGGATGTTACTGGTCTAACGATCAGCACCAGGCCTACCCCCTCGGGAACTCTAGGGGGATATGAACTTGGTCAAGGTACAAATGATAAGGAGCAGACCATCTGCTTCGCACATGAATGGGGCCCCAGACTCACATCCCTTCTCAATTGTCCCCAAAATTCTCCGAAGCAAAGTCCTTGCAGTTCAGTGTCTTCAATTGCCTCTACTCCCGCCGAGGTGGCGTACCAGACTGAAGATGGAGAAAAGTTTCCTGTGATAAGCTTCGCCGAGAAACAACCCTTCGACAACTTAATAGATGAACATGAAGTGGACTTCTTAAACGGGCAATCAACACCGCCCACCTCCGGAGCCCATTATCTAGTGCATCAAATGTCATCTCGAGACCTCAACTTTCTGTCTCGCCTTCGCACTCAGTCTCCCGGTCTTCACTCCAGTGGTCAAGATTCCGCCAGCGAGGACAGAACCTCATACGAGTCTGCTGAACGGACATCCCATTACCGCAGTGGCATTCTTTCATCGCTACTCAAGCTCTACGACCAACCTCATTATAACCACAATCAAAGTCGAGGACGGTATGGGCGGTCTCGACAGGGAAGCTCTTCCGAGTTCAGTGGACGCGGGCTTTCCCCGGACTCTGTATGGAAACCCCCCAGGAAGTGGTACGATAAATCTACCGCCCGGTCGAGCATTTCTATGGCCGGCTCATCCCACCACTCTGGCTCTCCTTTTGCCAGGCTCACCCGGTCCCACAGCAGTGGTGCTGCTATTCCAAGCCTAGGTCGCTCACGTCCTAAGCCCCAACTTGAGGACGAAATTCATATCACTGTTCATATTGCTGAGCTTCTATCTCGACAACGGTATTTGATCCGGCTTTGTCGTGCTTTAATGAAGTATGGAGCTCCAACTCATCGGTTGGAGGAATATATGCGCATGACAGCTCGTGTCATTCAAATTGATGGCCAGTTTTTGTATATACCCGGCTGTATGATCATCTCCTTTGACGATACCTCCACGCACACAACAGAGGTGAAGGTCGTCCGCTCCAGTCAAGGCATTGACTTGGGTAAACTAGCTGATGTGCATGAGATTTATAAGGAGGTGATTCACGATGTCATTGGTGTTGAAGAGGCAATACAGCGGCTTGATGAGGTTATGAAGAAGCAGAGCAAATTCCATATTTTGTTTCTCATCTTCGCCCACGGCTGTGCTAGCGCATCAGTTGGCCCATTTGCCTTCAATGCCCGACCGGTTGACATCCCCGTGGCGTTTTTACTGGGGTGTCTCCTTGGAGTGTTACAATTGATCCTGTCAACTAAATCGAATTTATATTCGAATGTGTTTGAAATCTCGGCCGCAGTCCTGACATCTTTCCTTGCACGTGCCTTCGGAAGCATCAAATACCAAGGGGAACCTCTGTTCTGCTTTTCTGCCCTCGCACAGTCCGCCATTGCCCTCATCCTGCCGGGATATACTGTGCTATGTGCTAGTCTGGAGCTACAGTCACGCAGTATAGTTGCAGGCTCTGTTCGCATGGTCTATGCAATCATATACTCGCTGTTCCTTGGGTTTGGAATTACTATTGGCACTGCCGTTTACGGACTTCTCGACTCTCAAGCTTCAACGGCATATACATGTCCCGCCAGCCCCATCCACAACGAGTACCTGCAGCGGTTTCCGTTCGTGATCGTATTCACAGTGTGCCTAGCTATTGTCAACCGGGCCAAGTGGAAACAAATGCCGATTATGATAGTAATATCTCTGGCTGGCTACGTGACCAACTACTTCAGCGCCAAGCGCTTCTATTCCAACACTCAGGTGTCTAATGCCCTGGCTGCCTTCGTCATTGGTGTAATGGGGAACTTCTACAGCAGGCTACGGCATGGGCTCGCCGCTGCAGCAATGTTACCGGCGATCTTTGTCCTTGTTCCTTCTGGTCTTGCGGCCAGTGGGTCTCTGATATCGGGTATTACTTCTGCGGAGGAAATGACTCGGTCTCCATATGCGGTTGTTAACAATGGAACACAAGGGTTTGTCGACGCGGCAAAGAAATTATCAGCCGACGAAGCGAAAAACCAAAGTTACGGGGTCGTTTTCGATATCGGATATGGTATGATCCAAGTTGCTATTGGCACGACGGTTGGTCTCTTCCTAGCAGCTTTGATGATTTATCCACTAGGCAAGAAGCGAAGTGGACTGTTCAGCTTCTAGGCCCCCTTTACCTCTCTATTGCATTTATTCCTCTTTTTGTGTGTATTGTTTTGTCGTGCTCGATTACCGAGTCTCTTGGACATTTCGCATACGTGAACCTCAATTTTAGGAGTTCACTTGCTGTATTTCTAATTGTTCATTTCATGATACTGGTAAATGCGAAGACTAGTGGCCTCTTTGCTGTCTCTTCTAATTTTACCCTACTTTCCCATTCTTGATCAAGTCATAGCACTCGGGGCCTCTCCCTTTCTCCTTTAGCCTCTTAACACTTTTTGACTAAAATACTCTTAATCATGGGCCGTTATATAATAGACTAACGGTATGGTAGTGATAACTGGTCATTTGAATGAAAGGCAGTGAAGATTCAAGTGGGAACCCTGTGCATCCACAAGAAATGTAATAGCTCTATACAATGGAAAGAAAATTGGGCAAAAGATGAAAATATTTACTCTAGATCAAATGGCCAGATATCTCTCAGGTCTTTTTCATCCCTAATTGGTTCATCCTCGTCAGGATCTTCATTTGTCAGTACAGCTTGCAACATCCCATTGAACATCGCCTTGTTTTCTACTTTTGCCGTTTCCCAAGACTCTGGGGGAACCCATCCATCGGATGCACAGTTAAGCAAGCTTGACAAGTCACGCTTCAGATTCTGGGCCGCCTCAAAACATCGGTATTCCTTCCGATGCATAGCCATTTCTTCCGGTCTTGGTAGGACAAATGGACACGCGCCGACAAACCCGAGTGCCTCCCAATCGTCAGAAGTTTCAATGAGCTCCTGCCGAAAAGCAACGGCGCCATCTTTCCACGTTCTGTAGCAGTATCTGAAAGGTCTGAACGTACTTTCATCCATTGTTCTAGGAAGAGCGAGCTTTGGAGTGAGGAATTGAGTACATAGTTCGAAGGTTTTTCTGCATAGCTCGCTGTCGTCTGACGATGTGGGAGACGGGCAACTTGTGAAGTCCGGAATCTCATCTGCATACCAGAAAGCTGGCTCTATACTGGATGACTGCCAATCAATAATACCAGTTATAAACGAGGGATCATCATCCGAAACAAAGATGTTCCTTTTATGTAGGTCCGGGTGAAAAATGGTCGGCGCAGCTGCGTCCTGTACTCGAGTATCCGCTGACATCGAATTGAGCACTGTGCGACCACGTTCGAGAAGGTCTAAATGTGACTGAACCGAGCCATGATAGAACGGTCGATTTGGGGGCTGAGAGTCTTTGGGTTGAAGTCTTGAAAGACCTGCATCGACAAGGCCATCGGAGTATGCATTCATAGTCAACCCTTAACCCAAAGTCTTAGCCGGCATCTTCTAAAGAATGGAAGTTAGATAGAGACTCACACGGGCCTTGGTTGGGGATAGCATGGTGGTAGTATCTGCGCTCGCCACAATCCCAATATCTTGTTCCACAATGAGGTCCGATATAATAGGCCCCATTTAGTGGTACCTTGGGGAAAGAGCCCAATGAAGTGGTAGAAAAATATAAGCTTCCATAGGCTGGAAAGTCGATGTCGGCCATCTCTCCGAGCTTTCTGTAGATGGCGTCGATGCATCTAACCTTTTGATCACCCGACATATAGGGCCACTTCTGCTGTAGCTGAATACCCGCCACATGTTCCATGATGATATATTCACTCCCAACACTGTTCGCTGCGTCGTCGCTCCAGTCGAGTATCTTAGGGATTGGAATACTAGTATTGCTTTGCACTGTATTGCATATATTAGCGAAATCCAAATCTCCCTTTTAAGTAATTGTTCAACCCACCATATTTGATAGTCGCCACTTCAGAAGCAGTGGTTAATTTTGCAGGGCCAGCTACTGTGAAAGGCAGTCGCGCCACGACACGTGAACGATCGTCCATGGTGAAAATGAACACCCTATTGAAATCCCCTTCCTTTTTGTCACATTTTATGATAGATCTTGCTCCGCTGGATAAATCCATTACTTTCTGGCAGAGTTCATCAAAGTTAATGTCAATATGGCGTATTTCGCGCTCTCGCTTGTCATTCCGAAGCCATCGACCACTTGTGTATGACTGAGGTTCAACCCCTAAACCCATATTGTCATTAACGCAAAAATCACAATAATTACTACCAAATAGACTCACCATGTACCGTTGTCTGGCCGATTTTACGTCCCGAAAAGGGCTTTCCGCAATTGAATTTAGAAGAAGAACATTTGAACGGGATGTCACGAATGAGGGAAGGCCGGGTATAATGAGGCCGCTGAGAGTGAGCTAAGAAAAAAGGCGCTTGCAACACCTGGGATACCTTTCTGTGGCTCATTGTGTGATAGGGTGAGAAGGTAGCATTAGGGCATACTTTTTAATATAACTGATGATTTCTGGATTATTTGTGTGGGAATAGCCTCAATTTACAGTACTCTGTGTAGAGAGCAGTCTAAAATAAGGCATATGTTGTAGTTCAAGAATAGTTCAGACATTTCAAGGCATAAGACAGTAAGGTGAAAGTGAGACACGTGACACAATATAGGGTCATGGGGAACAAACATAGTGTATATGAAGTGCGAGTCAAGTATTCAAAACTTCTTCTCCAAACGCGCGGACAAGCCGAACAATTGATGAAAAAGGAGTCGCGTCTATTGGGGATAGTGTAAGCCCAATGACACTGTGCAACGAGGCATGCGCAAGCACAGGGGCCAAGTCACGAGGTCCAAAAATAGGAATAATCAAAGTGTTTCCTGGACGGAAACTTTCAGAGATTAAACTGAAAAGAACAGATACTACACTTGATCTAAGCCAATAGGCAAAGAGAGCTGAAGAAGGAAGAAAAGAAGAGGAAGATCTGTCGGCCTGGGCAGGTATATATAGACATTTGTGGTCATGTGACCTTCTCCAGGTCCTCTCTTTTGATATCCCGGAGATTGTTCCTCCGGGGAAAAAAATATCGGCCTCAATCCACATGAGATTTGGAGTCATAAAAATGAGATATCTCAACTTGTTGCACTGGGAAACGCAATTCATGACATAATAAATTACTTCCCTCCAATCAATACACTGACCGGTGTCGGTGTGGGTCTCCGGGGAGTAAGGTCGATTCTCCGAGAATTGCTACGGTGACTCGAATCACCCAGCATATTTGCCCATTATTTAAATTCCCAAGCTTCCCCCATCTTCTTCTTTTCAATTCACTCTCCACTCCTCTTCTATATCTCACAATGGCTTCTCGTGGTATTCCCCGTGCCCTCCGCCTCGCCCGCGTGGCCGCTCCTCGCTCGGTCATCACCGCTGCCCTTCCTCGCCCTGCCATCGCTGCTGCTACCCTTCCCCGTGTCTCTTCGGTTGTCACCCCTGTCCGTGGTATCAAGACCATTGACTTCGCTGGTGTCAAGGAGGATGTCTACGAGCGTGCCGATTGGCCCCGTGAGAAGCTCCAGGAGTTCTTCAAGAACGATACCCTTGCCCTCATCGGTTACGGATCCCAGGGTCACGGTCAGGGTCTGAACCTGCGTGATCAGGGTCTCAACGTTATCGTTGGTGTCCGCAAGGATGGTGCCTCATGGAAGGAGGCCATCCAGGATGGCTGGGTTCCCGGCAAGAACCTGTTCGATATGACCACCGCCATTGAGAAGGGTACCATTGTCATGAACCTGCTCTCCGATGCCGCTCAGTCCGAGACCTGGCCCACTATTAAGCCTCTCCTCACCAAGGGCAAGACTCTTTACTTCTCCCACGGTTTCTCCCCCGTCTTCAAGGACCTCACCAAGGTCGATGTTCCCAAGGACATTGATGTCATCCTCGTTGCCCCTAAGGGTTCCGGCCGTACCGTCCGTACTCTCTTCCGTGAGGGCCGTGGTATTAACTCCTCCATTGCCGTCTTCCAGGACGTCACCGGTCAGGCCAAGGAGCGCGCCATCGCCATGGGTGTCGCTGTCGGCTCTGGCTACCTTTACGAGACCACCTTTGAGAAGGAGGTTTACTCTGACCTCTACGGAGAGCGTGGCTGCCTGATGGGCGGTATTCACGGCATGTTCCTCGCCCAGTACGAGGTTCTCCGTGAGCGTGGTCACAGCCCCTCCGAGGCCTTCAACGAGACCGTTGAGGAGGCCACTCAGTCCCTGTACCCCCTCATCGGTGGTCACGGTATGGACTGGATGTATGCTGCCTGCTCTACCACTGCCCGTCGCGGTGCCCTTGACTGGTCCACCCGCTTCAAGGATACCCTGAAGCCTGTCTTCAACGACCTCTACGACAGCGTTCACAACGGCACTGAGACCCAGCGCTCTCTCGACTACAACTCCCAGCCCGATTACCGCGAGAAGTACGAGAAGGAGATGCAGGAGATCCGCGATCTTGAGATCTGGCGCGCCGGAAAGGCCGTCCGCTCTCTCCGCCCCGAGAACCAGAAATAAATAATACCTTGATACCCGTGGAGGTTCAAAAAATGATGATGTACTATGAACTCTTCTTTTTGTTACAAGTCAGAAATATTAGGGCTTTGGCCATTTCTCAGTTTTACTTTTTATTTTCTTTTTTCCACTGTAGCTTCTAAATTATTTCTCGCAGCTTAGCTTGTTCCTGCAGTAGCTCGCCGAATTCCGGAGAAGAGTCCGGGGTAAAATAAGAGTCATACTCGTTTTCTCTTCAACCTCTTCACCAACAATCACTTCGCCCGCTAGTATGACTTCACCCGCTATTACAGCTCAATCGCTCACTCCAGCCGCAATTCAGGCGGCTTACAGTCTCATCCAGTCCCATGTGCACCGTACGCCCCTCCTGACATGCAAAACACTCGACACCATCGCCTCCACACCACAACCGCCTGAAGCCTTGGTCGGAACGCCCTTTGAAGGCCAAACTCCCGCTCACCCACAGTTTCGATTCTTCTTCAAGTGCGAGAACTTTCAGCGAATCGGTGCCTTCAAAGCACGGGGTGCATTCCACGCTTTGCTACGATTGTTAGAGGAGCGCGGGGAGGAAGTTAAACGGCGCGGGGTCATTACACACAGTTCTGGTATTTTCTACTGTCCACGTCAATTTATACCTTGCTGAATTCTCTCCAGGAAACCATGCACAAGCTCTCGCCCTCGCTGCCTCAACTCTGGGCATCCCCGCTTACATCGTGATGCCCCGCATCAGCACGCCGTCGAAGATTGCGGGTACGCAGTCCCATGGCGCAGAGGTTATCTTCAGCGGCTCAACAAGTGTCGAACGTGAAGCCGTGGTGGCAGAGATACAGGCCAAGACAGACGCGATTCTGGTTCCACCATATGATGACTTCAACATCATTTGTGGGCAGGGTACAACGGCTTTGGAGTTGGAGGCGCAGCATGCCAAACAAGCTGGGTCCCGGCCCCTGGATGCGGTTATAACTCCTATTGGTGGAGGCGGACTCAACTCTGGCGTGGCGACGTGGTTCTCGGATAAGCAGACACGCGTGTTTGGTGCAGAGCCCAGCTTTGAAGGTGCAGATGATTGTCGACGCGGGCTGAAGGCTGGAAAGCGAGTGGAAGCCGTTGGCACCCTCACTATCGCAGACGGGCTACGCACACCAGTGGGCTTACTCAATTGGGAGGTTATCTCCAATGAGAAGAAGGTTGAGGGGGTATTTGCTGTCACCGAAGACCAGATCAAGGCAGCCATGCGGCTAGTTATAGAGCGCATGAAGGTTGTTGTTGAGCCTAGTGCAGTGGTTGGACTGGCCGTGTGTCTCTTTGATGAGAACTTCAGACGACGAGTCGAACAAGAGGGTGGTAAGGATGGATGGGATGTTGGCGTTGTGTTCAGCGGTGGCAACACAACCATCGAGGCAATTACCAAGCTTTTCACATGAGTCAAATTTGAAACCCATTGTTCAAAATAACCAATCAATAATGAGGATCAGTCATCTCAACGCCAGAGTCAAGTATGTAAAAGGAAAATCTCCCACCATTCTTCGCCTCAATTGCTTCAACTATGCGACGAGGCCATTCATCACGTCCCCATGGATTGACCCATGCGGATATCTTGCCTTGCTGGACCACACTCTGCCGCGAAGGGGCGTCCTTCGTGGCTGCATGAGCGGTCATGCTCGGTGGAAATTGACGAACAGAAGACCGGTGGACAATCAGACGCAATGTTGGGAAAGTGCCCCAGGCAGGGAGAGCAGGTCTCAGCGATGGAACGCGAGCCTGGGAGTGGAACCCCTGTGGTTCGCTGGAATAAAGCCGGCCTCCTGAGACCGTTGCGGTATACGCAATTGCACACTGGAACTGACTCTGTAGACTCTTCAGCTCCCTCGCCACCTCGGTATAGAGGTCAGACAAATGAAATCTGGTTTTTCGCTCTCGCTCGGAATCAATTTCTGCCTGAGGACGCCCAATTTCTTCGGTCCGAGCAACTTCGTCGCGCAGGCGGTCTTGCCAGAAGAAGGCGGTGACACTATCGATAGCTATCATATGTAAGGGACGAGATGCGGAATGATGTCGCGAGAGGTCGAAAAGGTACGAGTCTAGCGTGTGGATTGTGGCTAGAAGAGCGGATGAAGATTGCGGGCGAAAGATATGGACATGCTGTAGTGAAGAGACGAGCAGTGATTCGAGATCTAGGGTCTCTCCTGATAGCCCTCGCTGCAGTATACCACGAGCCACAGTTCTTAGTCTTTCGGCATCGAATCGGTTGTCGGTATCTATGAACACCACAGCTGCCTCTTGACCATGGACTAAGATGTCCCCGTGTTTTTGTGGTAAGATAGCGATAGCGGTGAGATAGTACAGTAGCTGTGACTTTCCCGAAGCTGACAAGCTGCTTGCAATCTCCACGATGGGATTATGCTGTTTCTTACTACCCTCAGGGACTGAGAACGACACATTGGCAGGTGGGTCAATGTCTTGCGCGTGTATTTCATCCAGCCAAGGCCGGTCTTCAGTATGCGGCGGTATTTCCTCTTCAGCGGTTTGTTGTTTTAGTACTGGAGATTTATCATTCGCAGCATCTGGCACAGCAAGTGCTTTGGGCGCAAAGACTTCGTGTAAAGCATCCAGAATTGGTATGCCTATGGAATGTATGTCATGACTTGAGTGACCAGGGTAAAATTCCGTCAATCCAGAGAGTATCTGAAAACTGGTCAACCCGAATGCATTCAAAGACATAGGAAAACTGCAATACCTCATCTAGTCCCTCTTGGTGTACATCAGCTAGCGATCTCTTCCCAAGATTTGCTGCCATGGGTGAGCAATGGCCTGCGTCATGGATCTAGCATCAGAGTATATATTGAATGAGACGTATAAAGTCCAGTAGAAGCGTAGAGGTGAAGTGTAGAAGTGACGCGGATATCCGAATAGCGCGGCTGGCGGAGCTTCCGAACTTCCCCAGTCAAACTCACCTCGAACATTTTCCCTTTGACACGAAACCACCAAATCTCACTCAAGTTCGTTTGTCTCATATTCACCACCAAGAATTTACAATGGCACCTCTCGTCCCCATATTCTCCGCCGAATCCCTCCCCGATCACATCAATACCGTCCGCCGCAACTTCCAAGAGAAACGTCGCAAAGGCGAACCAGTCAACCTCAAAGAATGCCCATTACTTGAAATGACACAATTTTCTTGCAATCCACCACAAAATGGGGTCCCTGAGCCAGGAGTTGTGGTGTGCGAGCCTGTGGTGCGGTTGTTTCGACGGTGAGTCTTGCATCGAGTTATGGTCAAATAGCAAGCTGATCTCGTAGCTGTGCCGGTGGGTTGATGGTTGAAACAACATCATGGGAGCCACTTAGGCTGGCAGAGGAAGCGAAACAGAAGCAGACTCTAAAACAATGAGACTACTTTGTAATTACGAATGCGCATTGGGCGGAGTTAGCTGGGATTACAATTACTTGCAGGTTTCGAAAATGTTATTCTGAAGATTTGAATAATGATTGTGATTGCCATGGGGGTATCTCCTCAGGTCATGTTCCTGAACTAAAACAGAAGCGCCAACCCATAATCTGGGGGAAAGGAAAGGGGGAAAGAAAAACGCCGGTCTTTGTAGTTTACATGTCAGTCATGACGTCCGCTACCTCAACACTTGCTAGAGGCTTTGGGGGCTTCTCCTCTTCTCGTCGTGCATTTGAACTTGTTCGGCGCCAAAGATCTCGCTCACAATTGACGATTGGCCCCAGCTCCATATTCCACAAGAGCTTGCAAGACTTATCGGCATCCCCTAGGTGGATATCCATAGCTGACCTGCCAGGGTCTTTGCTGTGCTTTTTGGATAGTCCCTTGATCGTCTTTTCGAACATGCTTTCCATGCTGTCCATTCTCCGACCCCAGAGTTTCTTATCACGGCCAGTTGAACCCGTCTGGTTGTCGCGAAATGCGGCGCTCGCTAATTTGCGCAAAGCTTCCTCGCCATGCCGTCCATCCTCGGCTGCGCGTTCCCTGATCTTGCGTGGGTCGTTGTCTCGTCCAATAAAGACTGCGGTGGCAGAATAGGTGTGTTTGCTAGGGAAACTCGGGAAATGTTTTGGAATGTAGGGACGATTTGCACGATCGTCCTCGCTACTCAGCGCCGTCAGAAACGGGAGAGATTTGGATATTTCATTCTCTGGTGGAGGAGATGGTAATAAGGTCGGCGTAGGTTTGTCTGAGGGTGATGGTTTGAGATGAGGGAGAAGATCATCGGGATGGAGGCGGAGACGCTTCAGAGCGTGGTCAAAATCTTGCGGGATTGGCTGGACGCGACGCGCAGATAACATGGATTGACGGATGAATGTGGAGAGTCGTAGCATGTCTAGATATTTCAAGCGCAACCCGTCAATTTCAAGTTTCAACAATGGATTCATTGGGTCACATACACTCCTCAGTAGCACTGCAGAGACTTGACAGTGCAACTGGATCAGCCAACTCAAATCCTGAGTCCTTCAGGGTCTGGCCAACTGCACGATTCATCAATTGGTCAAGGTGAGTGTCATCTTGCACGGCTGGCTCGGACGATGATGGGAGAACGACGGGCTCCTGTAAGCGATGATGGTGATGGTAGTGACGCTTTATCCTCTTCAGATTGTTCTGCTCGAGGGACGAGGAAGGCCGTTTAACATGGGCACCTGATGTCGCCATAGCCATTGTATTGGTCTAATCCAAGTGGTGGTCGGGACGACGAGGCAGTGTTATTTGGGGTCACGTGTTGAAGGCGGTGAATAGATGAGTACTGTAGCTGTCATGGACCTTGCGAGGTTGAGGAGATGAAGAATAATAGATTGAATGAATCAAATGTTGTAGGCAGTAGGACTTTTAATATGTAGACAAGCAAATAATTCTAACTAGGCTTCACTCATTTCACAAATCCTCCATTTCGAGGGCTTCCTCCGTGACCTTTGCTTTGATATTCATGTGCTTGAGGACGAGATACTCATTTCATTGGAATAAGTGATCCGATATATAGAAAATTAGAAGGCAATTAATCTGTGATTGTATTTTACAAGTTGTAATAGTAAAGGAAGAGTGAACATGCCATAGTTCGCTCTCATAGTAATGACCGACCAATCCGGCGGCTCGCTTAGTCCGCTCCGAAGCTTCAACTTCACTTCACAAAGCCTTCCTCCTTTACCCCCCATCTCCTCTCCCCACCAACGTCCGAGGCAGGTTTTAAGCTGTCCGCAACCCGCATTTCTTTTGCTCGAGCATTGATTGACACAACTTGTTCATCACAATGCCCGCCGCTATTCCCCCCATTACCGGCGTATGTGCCCCTTCCGTTGACGGCCGAGTTAACCCGAGCGGGTTGTTCAGATCAATTGAGATGTTCCCAATGATTTACTGACATACGCTTCTCTACAGATGCTCCGCCGTGGTCTTGTTCTGGACCTGAGCACCGCTTTCGGTAAGTCGTGATCCGGATCGAGTGGCATGATCGAATGACGAGTTGGATATCGCAATCTCTCGGAAAGCGACCACATGAACTACAAGCACCAAGGAGATTATTTGGTTATATCAATACGTGAAATGGTTGCTGATCAGGTTATCTCATCCACTAGGCTTCGGTACTACCTTCGGCTACCTGTGGTGGTACGGTAAGTAGATTATCCCCGGCTGCGCCAACCCATGCGATAACTCGATACCTAATGTATTTGTTCTACAGGCTACCACCTCCCCCGCGTCCGTGAGCGTGATACCTACTACGCCCGCCTCGAGGCTGAGCGTGCTGCCCAGCGGGGTTAAATCGATCAACGCTGATCACCTCTCGATTGTCTCCTTCCCGCCCGTTCGGCGCCAGTTCTTTTCTTTGTCAAAGCGTCATCTCAAACATCTCCCAGTGATTGGGCACGTCTCTCGACATCACCCATCGGGCTTGGGTTGAATCGGGTGTGTACGAGTGGGTGGTTATATTTTAGATCGATTGTACATATACGTGGACAACCAACCGTTTTGATTTTGGACCTTCTTTCTCTGGAGTTCGGTTATAACATACAGGAGAAACGGGTATCCGGGATACCGTAGCGATATTTTATCTCCTACACCTGGCCAAACGAGCGAATTGGGTCTATTGTATTCAAACGCTAAGTACGCCGGATATATGTACGTTGAAACACCAGCGCACCCCTCCATGGGGTCGCCGAAACCATATCTCCGCCATGTGTAAAACCATAGATCATCCAGTATCTGCTGGGGTATAGGCGAAGGTCTGGAACCGATGTGCAAATGTGAAGCAGCATTCACCGTAGCACCCGCTCAAATGATACGCCTCGGACGGACCCGCCGGCCATAGAGGTGCGTACGTTCCTCTTGAAGGTGTCACGAGTGGTACGAAGATCTTCCGCAGCTTCCTTGTTGAGAGGGTCGGAGGCGTTTGGCTCGAGGAAAAGGAACTGCGAATGCCAGTCAGCGGATGTTGATCACCAACCAAAAGAAATCAACGGACCTGCATGCCCACAATGACAGCATTCAGATTCAACACGGGCTTCCAGTCCTCTCGTAGAATGTTCAAGCAGACGTTGCCCTCCAAGTCGATATTGGGATGGTAAATCTTCTGCATGCATTTGACTTTGGGAGGATCGTGGGGGAAGTTCTGGTTGACGGCAAAGCTAAAGTTGAAGACACCACCCTTATACATGCCTTCGTCCGGTTCGATAGTCAGGGTGAAGTTAAGGATATCATCAGGGTTCGGAAAAGACATTTTCATAGTGCTGCCGAGGGTGAGTTCTTGAAGATCTAAATAACAGGTTAGATGTATATGATCCAGCACCCCAGTCACTCACTCACCTCGTTGCACGCGTAATTGCGCCGCGGTGACCTTCTTCTTCTTCTTGCCTGCAGCGCCCTCGGCGTTCTCAGCCTCCTGCTGCTTTTGTTTCTGTACAGGCTGTTAGCTACATTTCTGCAAAAGCCAAATAAAGCCTACCATCGACCAGATTTTCAACATGTTGGAGTCACCACCCCACCTGGTGGAACGGATAGTTTTAGAGAGAAGGAGATTCACGAGGTTGTCACTCTGAGGATGTCAGAGAAGGAATAATAGAAAGAAAAATGCAAAGCCCAACAGGCAAGATCAAGCGACAACGGTGACAACGGTGAGAGGGATAACAGGTGCTTGCGGGGGGGTCTCAGATCAGCAATCGCCCTTTATCGCCTCTCCGCCTTCCATTTGACGTATTCGACCTCGGGAACTCTCCAGGGTTACAGATCTCACATTCACAGAGTATGGGACATTTACTGGAAATCTTGAAGAAATTTTTTCAAAGAATATGAAGTACATAATCATAGGCCTCCGAATGTGATACCAGTGCATGGTTCGACAAAAAAAAAAAGATCACAGTAACCGTCAAGGTACATACTGGCTGGCATTGCGGGAAAAAAAAAGATAACAGAGTTGGGCATCTTTAGGTAGAATACAGATCAAAAAAAAAAAAAAGGGAATAGGTGTCATGACCCATAAAAGGGTAGGGCTGCTGTCGAACTACCGGCGTGCAAAGCAGCACTTGATACCAGTGCGACCCAGGAACCAACAGCATCCAATGAAACGGAACAATGCGACAACGGCGTTAGACCACAAGAGGGCCTGGAAGAAATGGGCTGTACGACTGGTGGCAGTATTCTATTATCACGTTAGTCGATGAATACCAAGGCTCAAAGAAGGGAAAACTCACTGTGAAGCCGAATTTATCGACGGACTCGCTGGTGATGCAGACTGCCAGAATTGCATTGCTGAAGATCCAAAAGGTGACGAGTCGAGTACGGAAACTCTTGTACGAATCCTCGAGGGTCTTTTCGTCATGTTCCACGGGAGCAACGAAGGGAGTGAGCGCACGCTTGACAGTTGCCTCGAACTGACTATCGATATCGGCTTGGGGCTTGTCGATTTCTTCTATCACTGCCTCTTTACTGCCCTCATCCTTTGTAGTTGTGGCTGATGGCAATGCATCGGCCTTGTCGGAACCCTTTGTACCCCAGGAGACATCGTGCCAGTTGCTGAAGGCATAGACGTTCAGAATGTTGATGTAGGACGACTGAACAACCATGTAGGCTGGGAATGATGTGAACATGTGCCAAGGGTCGGCGTACATGAAGGAGGCAACGAAGTAAAGACCGAATGTGGCAGCCAAGGCGATGATAATAATACCGGCGCCCGTCGACCCGAAGAAAGAGTCCAGGAAAGCCTTCAGACCTTTGTCGGTGACAAAGTCCATGGGTGCGCCGCCGCTGAACGCGCGAACAACCAGGTAGATCGAATCGACGACAATGTAAACCTGAATGAGACCAAAGACCACGAAGGAGGCGAGGTACGAGAACTTGGAGCCCTTGGGTCTGTTACCGAGAGCGAGAATGAACTGTAGTAATAGGAAAGCAAGGTATCCGTACTTCACAATCGTGTTGATAATGGGCGTAGCTGTCTCGCCGAAGGGGAAAGCGGTATTTCCATTGCTGGTGCTTGGAGTACCGACCAGGTCAATGATGACAGTGGTGGTCAGCCAGTATGAAGCGAGCGAGAACCAGGTGAGAAGGGTGTTGAAGATATTATACAACATCTGAATGTGAAGGAAGAACATGCGAACGATGTTGTGACCACTCTTGTACATACGACCAAAGTGCATCAGCGAGTAAATTCCTGCCGCAAAAGAACCATTGAGCCAACGACGACGCTGGGAGATAAACTCGGCAGCGCCCTCGGGCACGTCCGTTTCACCCTTGGAGGCTTTGACATAAGACAAGTGCCACTTGGAGCCTGCCTTGGCGACTAACTCGAAACAGAGAATTCGATCCTCGGCCAAGAACATGTTCTTTTTGAAGATGTTCATGCCTTCAATACCCTTCTTTCCAAGCTGTTTAGATAGAGTGTGATCTCCGTGGAAATATTGTTCGAGAGGACGACCCATAATTGCACGGAATCGATAGGCTGAGAATGCACCGGGCAAGACACTAACGTAACCGAACGAACTCTCCAGAGGCTTATCCAAGATATTACTGATCTTGTACTCGAAGTTCTGAGCAGCCACGAGAGGGTTGATCAAATTCCGCCATCCCTTACCTAACATAGCGTGGATTTCACCACAGGCACCGCCGAGATCCTTATCGTTATAGAAGGCCTCCCAGAGGTACAACAAGGACTTGGGGCCAGGTTTCGTACCGGCATCCAGAAGGATACAGACCTCGGGGTTCAAAATGCGGCCGAATGCGTTAAAGAGCCAACGATGCGAATTAATCTTCTTGCTGTTCTTTTGTTTCAAACAGAACATCATTTGCACGGGTGGTAGTGTACTCGGGCCATCGTCCGTTGGTCGAATGAGCTGCTGACTTGGCGTGACCGAGAGCTGGGTCGTGTATTCGAACTGGTTTTGTTAGCCTACGCCCTTTTTTCTTCTATCTGGACAACTTACAATATGCGCCAAAGTCTCCTTGCCGTCAACATCACGCTTCATAACACCGTCCTGGTAGATACCGACGGTTGCAAGAACATCAAGGGTATCCTTGTCACAAGGGTCGATACCGTCAAAGACCAGCGCAACAACGATCTTCTGCCATGCGGGTCCGCCCTTGTTCCAGAACTCGGATTTCTTCAGGTTGACAATGTCGCGAATGTTCTGCATCACACCGTGTAGGGTACGGGCCGTGAGATTCTTATCCTCGTTGTAGTAGGTAATCGCGATGAGCAGCTCCGTATGACGGTTGTACATAGCGGGGCGTAGGTTGTAACCATTGTGAAGGGTAAATTCGTTTGGATCACAAGTAGCAGCAGTGTCTGTGGAGGCTTATTAGTCTTTTTTTTTCTTTCTTGTCAAGTCCACAACGTACATCTCATGTGAGTGAACTCTTCGCTTCCACCTTCCACGTCGTTGCGGTATTTGGCTTGGATGGCATTCTGGATGGCACTAGGCACGGGGTAATCGACACTCAGGACGGAACCCTGAACTAGCTTGACCTTCCTAGTAGCATATCTGCGCAAACCACCACCACCCCCTCCACCAGGGGCGCCCCCGGGAGCCTGTCGCTGGCGCCAAGCCTCAGTAGATGAGGTCTCGCTACGGGCATAAGGTGATGCCACTCGGCCGGGAACTCCAAATGCTGCTGCAGTGCTTTCCTCCTGGCCAGAGTAGACGGTGCCAGTATTGTATGGATCGTGGTAAGAAGGTGTGGTATCCGTTGCATAAGTTTCCGTCAAGCTGTACTTGGAAGCTGGACGTTGTGGAGAAACGCCGCGCGAGTGGGGGTCATCAAAGGGTGTCGCAAATGGACCTTGTTGTTGGGACAATAATCCACGGGCTGCATCCTCATCCTCGCGATACTAAAAAAAAATAACACAGTCAGTCCTGGAGCTTTAGTTACTAATTCCTCTCTAGATGCATACCTGCGAAGCTGGCACATCCTGTAGATGATGACTATCATCGTAGCTCGGCGAGCCAGAGCCGTGGTAGGCCATGTCGCGGTTGAGGAATCAGAAAGGGATGTGTTTCAAAGCTGACAAGAGAGGGGTATCTGTTCAAGCAGGGCACATTTAACAATTATCGAAGCCACCGGGGCTAGGGAGAAGGGCGTTTAGAGTATTTTGAGTCAAGGGTCAAAGAGAAAGGAAGAGAGAGAGAAGGGGGGGAAAATGGGGTTAAAAAAAAAAGGGAGACCATGAGAAAGGTCAAAAATAGACTGTCTCTAACCCCATCCTGGCTTAGTTTCCCCTTTCCCATTTTCTTATTATTTTTAAGTGTAAATAGATAAATAGACATGTAAATAGTATATAGTACATATATTAGTAGTGCATAGTAAATAGTATAGAGATACATGTAAATACCACATATCCTTACAATATGTAAATAGTACTCCGTAGAGAACCCCCCTATTAACATCTCAAAGAAATTTCGTATTTTATTTCTATACGAACGAAGTATACAGACTAAAAACACCCGAACCTAATAAGCCCTTGTCTCCACTGATGAAACTCAACAGATATAAAAGCACTATCCTGGAGATTCCCACATTCTTCAAATCACAACATTGGGGTGTTATCTAGGTATGTTGTATGTCCAGTTCCAAATTTGAATGTCTACACACTCCAGTCATCTTTCTTGCCAAATGAAATTCAAATACTCTCATATCACCTGATCTTTGATATTCTTAAACATTACCCCCCAGAGCCTAAGTGTCTCCACGATTAGCGTAAATTTTTGCCCCAGGTCAGCCTATTATTATTATCAGTACGGAGTACACCGTATTCTTGGGCTGAATTTCAGCTCCATAGGTCCATCTATGGCTGCGCCCCATGTGTCTAAATTTCTTTTTTTCCCCAATTTCCCCTATAATAAGATTTCAGTTGGCTCTCCACAATGTTAGAGATTAATTAACCGCTAACCCTATTTGGGATAAATAAAACAAATTAGACAAACAAAACAAACAAAGAAAATTCCTAATCTTGTAATTTTGGAAAAATAATGATCCGACTTCGGAACGACCGCGGGAGAGTCCAGACCACTTAGGCAGGTACTTATTTCCCTCACGTCTTGAAGTAAGGTGAACATGGGATGAAACAATCTGATATGTATAATTAAACCGTATCTCAATTTTATATATATATTAGTATATATTGATCTTATTTTCTTATACTTCTATATACTTCTACATATGTATAATATATATATATATACGGAGTATATATAAGATATAACCTTGAAGTCTACAAAAACTATTTGTGTACCTGACTACGGAGTACCCGTATCTCACCCGTGGAACAGGGCCCGTGACCCCATCCCGTCTTCTCTCTCCTCATTCTCTCTCTCTCCCACATATCTCAAGTGGTTTGTGAGCCCACTTCTTCTACGCCAACGTCAACAAATCGTTGACATATTCTCAAGTGTCTGGACCCATTCCAAGGACCATGACCATCGCTTAACCATCATATTTCGATCTTTATCCCTCACACTCGTTTCCTGTACTCGGCTTTGATGACTATTTATGCTCACGACTTGACGCCGATTGAGCATCCTACACTCCTTTTTCCATCTTTCATCTTGCACATTCCTTGCCGTTGACCGGCTTTATTGATATTACCCTGTCTTCCTTCGATTTCCTCCATCATGCTTCTCGAACCCATCGATTCCGCCTTCTCCCCGGCCCGCTCTCTCTTCAAGCGTTGCAAGCAGTGTGAGACCTCATCCCCCGCTTGTCCCGCGTGTCCCGATGGATCAATATGTACCATGACCGCCCCGAGCTGTGATGAATGTGCGACCACAAAGTGCGTTTCAACGGGCTCCAAATCCTCGGGTTCTGGGGGCTCAGACACTGGCGCGATTGCCGGTGGGGTTATTGGCGGTGTGGCTGCCATCGCCCTTATTGTATTCTTGGTCTGGTGGTTCGTCATCCGAAAGAAGCGCCTGGAGCGCCAGGAGGCAGAGAAGAATGGTTCATTCGGAGCGGCTCGCAGTGAACGCCAGTCCATTGCCTCAACAGTCCTAACCCGAGCCTCCAACGTCATCCAAATCGCCTACATTCCTGGTGTCACCAACCGCTCCCCGCCGCAGACCCCATCCTCCCTCATGCCTCCTGTTCCACCGCTTCCTGGTGCGACCCCTGATCAGCACTTCTTTATGCCCGGTGACCTACGTGACTCGTCATGGACAACCACTACCGGCCACCAGAGTATCTCTCCTACTCTACGCAGCAGTGTGGCTACTACCATCTACCGTAACGATGCCATTGTCAGCGCCATGCCTGCGCAGCAGATTCAGCGGACTCGTGCAGCTGTAGTGAGCATCCACAACGGAGGGGCTGGATCCAATGCCCCTGGAGATGACTCGCCCGTTTCTGTCACGGTTACTCCGGCGGACGCACCTGCCGTCCCGGCCATTACTCCGGCGCAACTTGCCCGGGCGGAGGCTGTCAAGGGCAATAGTTCATGTGTGGCTCGCAGTGTAACGGCCAAGCCGGTGATGGTGCGTGGTCCGTCGGTGAAGAAGAAGCAAACCAATAACGCACCCGCTGTCGACCAGGTCGAAGAGCTACCTGATAACAGTAAAAGCGACACAACCCGGGCAGTGTCGGCCACAAACAGCGACCAGTTCAATCATAATGTTTCCACATTTGATGGGTCCTCATCTGGCGAAGATGACACAAATCCGTCATCCACCAACCTGGAAACTGGATTGTCGCATGGCCAGACCGACTCACGTCGAGCTTCCGGCTTGAGCGACAGACGCAGCTCCACTCGGACACCACCCAGTCGGGTAGAAAGTCCATTTTCGGATGCGAATGAGGTGAAATGAGCAGGTCTGGGACTCGGCGCAACGGTTTTTCTATTTTTGTGATTTCCAATCCTGTTTTCTTTGTATGTATAAAGCTTGTCACAGCTTTTCGTGCCTTTTGTACCTTTTTTTATACGTTGAATCCTTTCCTCAGGCGCCTTGTACAGCGAGTATGCACACTGGGTTGGGACTGTCGATTGAATCTATACTCTCATTGATTACCACTCTAGGGTATCATATATACCTTCGTCTCCATATTTGTACTCCCATGTGAATCCGGTGTGTCACCATCCTATGGCCTCCGAGGCTTCTTCAAATGGACCATTATGCCTTGGTATATTGTAATTTACCAGAAGCTGAAACCAAGCATCATCAAATAGTATTTTAGTTCTGGTCTTTTGAAAGGGTACAATATCTCACAACACATATATTTAGGATATGGAGTCAACCAACCTCGTTATATATTCCCACACTCCCCATTTGGGGATACATAGTTTAGATCCCTATTATCTTAGTCTCATTTTTCAACATATATTTTTCATATCTACTTCTACTATTTACTTATACATGTACTCACTATCGGAACCAAAGTCAGCCGTCCTTGAATGCCCCCTTGGAGGTTAACAAAGATCCTAGTTAGTATCTGTGCTATCCCGCCTAGACATGGCATAGAAGACAGCACTGGAAGAAAATGGGTGCTTGGCCCTGACATTAAACTACTCCATATGGATTTATCTGGTAGATGTTGGTTAAGGTAAAAAGGGAAAGTATGGCCGGTCGGTAGAAGAGAAGAAGAGAGAATCTTCATATCATCTAGCTATTTCATAACACAGTAAAAAAAATCAAGGGTATATATAACCAGAAAGATCTAATCAGTGATGCTCAGCATCCGGTCATTCAGGCGACGTTCTCATCTAACCCCATTCCACGTCCGATTTTTCGAATCAATGCCCGCTTGAGAAGAGCTTCACGTGCAAGACTTCGTGTATGTCGCGACCAGGAATCGACGCCAATAACACCGCGGACCAGCGCAGCCTGCAACGCATAAAGAGCTTGCTGTATGCCTTGTTCCTCAGCGACCAAATCATATAGCTGTTTCCCTACCACGGTGGGGGCGACCAGGACATCATCGATTGGGGGCAGACCGGACGTGTCTCCATGAGAGCTAGAAGTGGAGATGGATGTAGAGCGCGCCTGTGCATCTGCGATAGTGGCGTCGGCGCGATGGATGGATTGTTGCAGGACAGTAGTGTTGGACTGTAGAGTCGCGTGGAGATTATTGAGGGCCGAGACCTCCCCCTGTAGCGTGGCCATAGCAGCATGTAGGGACCGTGACTGTGAAACGAGGGACTGCGCTGCCGTATCGGACTGTGCAGCATTAGCGCGGAGAGTTTCCGCCAGGGTTCGGGACACGGCATGAAGAAGTGCATCTTTCTCTGGGTTTGGCGGGATGGGAGGCGCTGGTCCCGCAGGCGTAATTGAGGGTAGCTCGACTTCAAATGGCGAGGTTAGAAGATCGGGTGTGTCGGCCTTTGTTGGAGCTGCTGGGGGTGGGCGGGGGTAATTGGATGGGTATGGGGAATGCTGAGGATACGGGGGACCAGACGGTTGCTGATGTGGTTGATAGGGGAGTTGCGGCTGTAGAGGCAAGTGGGCCCCCGCTGGGTTAGCTTGTGGAGGGACTTGGTTTGATATACTAGACCCAGGCCCATGATGAATCGGAACTCCGCTGTTTCTATAATATGGCGCTTGACCCTGCGACTGGGGCGGCATGGGCTGCCCCGCTGGTTGATGGGTTGGTGGTTGGGACAGGGGACGAGGGTTGCTCATCGGTCCTCCAGTTTGGGTTGGAGGTGCGTTATGCTGGTAGGAGTGAACCCCAGGACTGGCCAATTGCGTGGATAAAGATGCTTGACGAGAGCCTTGGTCTTTTGGTGGGAGTGGAGGTAGCGGTGGGGGAGATCGATATTGATTAGCTGGGTGCCGTTGTTGTTGCTGCCGATGTTCGACAGCGCCTGGCTTCGGTGGGGGCGGGGGTGGAATCTGGTTCTGGCTTATAGACGGAGACGGAGATTTGGCTTGTCTTGAAGATCCGACGCCGGGTGGAAGGGGTGGTAATGGCGGAGGTGTTTGGGCTTCCGGCTGAGGTTGTGGCACTTGTCTATATCGGACAGGCGGTTCCTTCGCAAATATATCCTGAAGAATAGATAGAAAATCGGCGATGGTGGATCTCTGTGAATATAAAATGGTCAGTGGTCTGTCAACCCATGTGATTGCGAGCACTAACCTCCCACGCTTCCGCCCAGTGTGCTAGATAATGATGATACACCTGTCCCTCCAGCGTCACATGTTGCCCAACTCGGACAGTCATTTCCTGTGTTGGAGTCACGTAGGCAATTGGAGGATCGCGTGGGTATGTATTTGGAATCCAAAGCGCAATGGGAAATCGGTACGTCGTTCCTCGGAAGGTGACAGGCAATGTGCCCACAAGGTGAAGGAGGAGGGCCGAGAACCCTGTCTCATAGGCTATTCATGTCAGAAATAATGTAAAATTGCCATTTGAGACACTCACTATAGACATCTGTTCGAGGGGAGAGCGAGGGGTACTGCGAGAGCGCATTGACAACATCATGGTAGGTCCGATTCGGGTCACGGTAGGTCTGTTGTGGATCATAGTGATCCTAGGAGGGTTTAGTATATTGATATGGAAGGGTTGAAGAGAGATCAACCTTGGACAAGACACTATACAGCCAATTCAATGTCCTCTGAGGGAGCGCCATAGTGAGAGGAATAGATGTAAAAGTGTTGGAGTTGTGAGATTGTCATTTCCCCGCAAATCTCTTGGCGAAGGACCTGTTTTTTTTAAAAGAAATAATATTGAAGATGTATGAATATATTAAGATAAATATAGAAAGATATATTTGTTAAACTAATTTCTTAGATCTCTGGCCCTGGAGAGCTCCAACCCTGAAGGGAAGTTGTATAAGCAAAAGATGTAACTACCCCGGGGTTTATTCATCTTTAAACACCTCACCTCACCTCACCACATCACCATATCACCAACACCATATCACCTCTTGCTTTCCCCCTATACTGACACTTATTAGCTTTGAATATTTTAAGAGTTAAAGTATCGAGGAGACACAAATCCGCTAATTGATAGATCATTGAATCAAAGTGTCTTACAGGCCTCTCCAGGATTCTACCCTCGAGAAGACACATTGAATCTCTTGAAATCCTCGGGACTTCTCTGGGAATCCGAAACAAAGAAGAGAGAAAAAAAAAAAAACCAATCTTGAAGCTGACCAGTGATGTTTACAGGACCAAAAGGCTATTCTGACTATTCTGGCGATCTCATGCAGCCATTATCACCCCATTGCTTAATGGCTAGGCACTTCTTTGTCTCATTTGATATTGTTCTTCCCATTCCCTTAGTATTGTTCCTTTCTATTTACAAGGCCTCATAATGATCTGGATATCATTATCTCCCTTCGCCATTGTCTGTCTCGGCTTCTATGATCCTAGCCATTCACCCTGATTCTGATACTATATTCTCTATTTACAATTCTTCAGGCTTTATAAACATATCCTTGTCATGCATACTCTTGATCAGATTCTATAACCATCTAGTTTTTTCAATTCCTTCGAACTTCAAAAGTCGAAGCCATGGCCACATCTCAAAATCTTCCATTCGATCCATTTACACAGAACGTCACTTTCCGCCATGCAAATGGCGGCCACTTCGAAGTATCGGTCAAAGCGCTGGATGTCTTCGTCATGTACAATGTCCGGGTGTGCATCAATTATGGTTGCCAGTTTGGGGCATCGTTCACCTTGCTGGTGATTCTTCTGCTTTTGACTCAATCTGACAAGCGCCGGTCGGCGGTTTTTATCATGAACGGCCTGGCATTGTTCTTCAACAGCGGGCGTCTGCTTTTTCAAGTCATCCATTTTTCCACGGCATTTGAACAGGTATACCCATACGTTTCCGGCGACTATTCAACTGTGCCATGGACCGCGTATGCCATTTCCATCGTGGCTGTTGTTCTCACTACCCTGGTCGTTGTCTGCATTGAAGTATCGCTTGTGATTCAAGTCCATGTGGTTTGCTCTACGCTACGTCGTCGATACCGACATACCTTACTGGTGTTATCTGTCCTGGTCGCCCTGGTGCCGATCGGATTTCGCACTGCATGGATGATTGCGAACTGCAACGCCATCATTACACTTACCTACATGTCTGGAATATGGTGGATAGAAAGCGCAACGAACATCAGCGTCACCGTCAGTATCTGCTTCTTCTGTGTTATCTTTGTCACCAAACTCGGATTCGCCATCAAACAGCGCCGCCGACTCGGGGTGCGCGAATTCGGTCCGATGAAAGTCATCTTCGTCATGGGATGCCAGACCATGGTCGTCCCGGCCATCTTCTCCGTCATACAGTACTACATCACTGTGCCAGAACTAACCTCCAACGTGGTGACCCTGGTCGTCATCTCACTCCCACTCTCGTCAATCTGGGCCGGCGCCGCCCTCGAGCACTCACGACGTACCGGAAGCCAAGAACATCCACGTCGACGAAACTTATGGCGGAGCCTTGTCGGCGGCGCCGAAAGTTTACTGTCTCCCACAAAGGATACTCCAACGAGCTTGTCTGCTATGACTGCTGCGCAGACTCTGTGCTACTCGGACCACACAATGAGCAAGGGCTCATACAACTCGCGGGACACCGATGCTTTCTATGGAATAACAGTCGAACACAATATTTCGATCGATCGAGTTCAAAGGAAGAATTCAGTGGTGTGAGGGGTACAGGGCTCGGCAATTCAACGATATCATTTCCTTCCCCTTGGATGTACAGGATCCTGGCTCGAAACCGACTTTACATGTACATTCTTTTCATTTCATTTTGAGGGGTTTATACCGGTTAAACATTCCTTTATTCCAAATCTGCAAAATGCAGACAAATTCTAATACCAAATCATATTCATTATTCATTATCTTATTATAGTGGGAGATCAATTCTGCCATAAATGTTCGAATAGGATCTCGATAGTAAAGAAAGTGAATTAGAATATGTATGAAACTTGTGCAAGGAATACAGCCAATTTACCGAAGAAACATTGCGAGCTAGGTAGATTATCAAAAGACACAAATATTTACAGTCCAAACGCTCTATGTTTAGAACCACAAGTGCGCCAGAGCAAAAGGAAAAAGAGGACAGTTAATAATATCTCGGGTTCTAATTCAATTGCACATAATTGGCTATCGTGAATGTTAGCATGTGCACTAAATTCAAAAGACTGTCAACACTTACCCGGAAATTGGCCCTCCCGACCTGCAATTCGCCCAGACCACCATTCATTGGTATTTTCGGAGCGCTGGGTAATCTCAATAACATCACCAGCCGAGAATCCCAAATCACCGTGTGCCTGAGCCTCGTAGTCATAGAGAGCGGTAACAGTCTCGACCGGCTTACTGAGATAGGATGGTTTCGGCCGTGGAGGAGGCGGGGCGGGCTTGCTCTTGGCAGCGGAAGAGAAACTGCCTGTCGGACTGGGACTGATGCCGGCAGACGAATAAGGTGGTGGAGGGTTGTCATCGGTGGCAGTGGAGCTGGAACGGCCTCGGCCGATGGAGCCCTTGGTATCGGCTCCCTTGCCCAGAGGGTTCAGTTTGGATCCAGAGCGGCGGACACCTTGGGTTTTGTAATGCACAATAGTTAGAGCTTCGGCTTGGTCCTGGATATTGCCGCGCTTCTGCTCAAAGGCCTCTTCAACATCGAGTTCAAGATTGAAATAGCTGATGTTCATGCCTTGCATTCGTTCGTGGAGAGTGTAGAAGACGTTGAGTTGCATATAATAGAAGGACTGGAAGAGCGGGCGGATGAACTCGGCTTCGAGGGCGAATAGCTTCGGCAGTTCGTCCTTCAGCAAATCGTTGTAATAATTGAATTCCTGGGTTGACTGCTCAACATCGTTCTCGGCTTTGTATAGAGCTTTTTCGTCTTTGAGCGATTTGTCCTTCTTCTCTTCCAGCTTCTTCAGTGTGGCATTGTGGCGGTCAAAGTCCAGCTTCTTGTGATCACGCTTAACCGCAACCTTCCGAATCACCTTGATCACCTCGAGCAACTGGTCGGCCGGGCTGATAATGCGACTGTCGATCATCTCCAACTCGGGAGCCAGAGCTTCTTGCAATTCCTTGACGATGACTTCATATTCCTCACAGGCTTGGATGCCCTCGGCATTTCCTTCGAATTGGTAGGAGGTGGGATCGGAAGCGCGACCGGAGATGGGTTTGTAGATCTCTGCGACTGCTTTGGAGAATTCGATTTGGTGGCTCAACATGCCTGCGCACGTGGTCAAAATTGGAGGTTGAGATTGAGAGAGAATAAATACTGACCATTAATGGCAGCAAAGTATTTCTTGGACTCATCGTGTAGCTTCTTGGTCTCTCTCTCGAGCTCATCAAAGCGGCGTTCGGCATCACTATAGACAGCATCCTTGGTATGCTCACCGATGTTGAACTTAACCTTGAACTGCTGTGGCGCACGCACAATGCTCTTTTGGAAACCTTTAAAACTCATGATGTGAAGATGGAGAGAAGTAAAGAGAAAGTGCCAAGGTGGGGGATGGAAGGAACCCGAATTTCAATGACATAAGACTCTACGGAGCTGATGTCCATTGTGGCTGTACACTAAATTTTTATACTATTTGACTACCTATGTTGTAGGTATATTTTGTATCTTATTACGCTAATTGATCTGCCTTATGATTATGTGGCGTATCTTTAGGCACCTGAATTATTACTATGGGGAATGTGTAGTACAGAGTACTGCATACTCTGTACTCCGTATGTAGTTCACACATAGCATACCTACTCCATCCTAGTTATAATAGCTACATGTAATAGGCTTATACGAACTGGTTCTCTTTCCCCGGCAGCCTTACCCGAGAAAATCGTAAGAACCGTCAAATTAAAGACCCCAGTCAGATCGTCATCATTGGACCATTTTCTTTATGCGGGGAGGTGAACTTCAATTGGTAAAATGAAATGAATATCCATATGTTGTACGGAGTAAAGGACTTCAAATAAAATCAGAATTATTGTTATATAGAGAATAGAGAAAGATACCTAGGTTTAATATAGTGAAACGCTTGGGAGAGAGAATATCACAAAAGGCTGAAAAGGGGAAGCTCAGTACCTTCTGCCTCAGGCATCTCGGATAAACCCATTTAGGAAATCACCGAGATCTTTAGTCATTGAGAGATGCTGGAGATAACAAAAAGTCGGGGCTGTGTTTCCTTCTTCATCCCACATCCAAGAATATCGTGGCATTATCCTCATAATGACAAGTACTGCTCCTGCTGCTTGGAGACAGGCTTCTGCCTTCTCCAGGCGCCTTTCAACCTATGGTTCTCGAGCTCCTCGAGTTCTCGCCACCAGCCTGCGCGCTCGGTCTTATGTCACCGAGACAAAAGTTGGCCAAGCTCAGGTCAACATCGAGACTGCCATCAAAGAAGAACAAAAGTCATTCATGAATCAATCCCATATGGCGCCCCAGAATGTCAAGCTGCCCGGCTCGGCAACCTCCGGGGACGCCGCGATGAGCCCCTCGGCCGGCATTCTGAAGCAGGCCACTGTTATGGACCAGGGCACCCGGCCCATCTACCTCGATATGCAAGCCACTACACCTCTGGACCCCCGGGTTCTGGATACCATGCTTCCTTACCTCACCGGTATTTACGGTAACCCGCACTCACGCACACACGCCTACGGTTGGGAGTCGGAGAAGGGAGTCGAGCAAGCTCGCGAGCATATCGCCAAGCTGATCGGGGCCGACCCCAAGGAGATTATCTTCACAAGTGGTGCGACCGAGAGTAACAATATGAGTTTGAAGGGTGTGGCGCGGTTCTTTGGTCGCTCAGGAAAGAAGAACCACATCATCACCACCCAAACTGAACACAAGTGTGTGCTTGACAGCTGCCGACACTTGCAGGATGAAGGGTTTGAAGTGACTTACCTGCCAGTTCAGAGCAACGGTTTGATCCGTATGTCGGATCTTGAAGCAGCCATGCGCCCTGAGACTTGCATTGTCAGCGTCATGGCTGTCAACAATGAGATTGGTGTGATCCAGCCAATGGAGGAGATTGGCCGTCTCTGCCGGTCCAAGAAGGTGTTCTTCCACACCGACGGTGCCCAGGCTGTTGGAAAGATCCCATTGGATGTTAACAAGCTGAACATCGATTTAATGTCAATCTCCAGCCACAAGATCTACGGCCCTAAGGGTGTTGGCGCCTGCTTTGTGCGTCGTCGCCCACGTGTTCGTCTCGACCCTCTCATCACTGGTGGTGGACAGGAAAGAGGTCTACGTAGTGGCACCTTGGCCCCTCATTTAATTGTGGGCTTTGGAGAGGCTTGCCGACTTGCTGCCCAAGATATGGAGGTAAGTTTTCTATTTCCCTCATTGCACCGATTATCGCACTGCAATAAACTTATTTCCCCTGTCTTCCAAAATTGGTATGCTAACTGACTGATTGAACAGTACGACACCAAGCACATCAATCGCCTGTCAAAGCGTCTGAGCGAGGGTCTCCTTGCCATGGAACACACCACACTGAACGGTGACCCCGAGCACCACTACCCTGGTTGTGTGAACATCTCATTCGCCTACGTTGAGGGAGAGTCCCTACTGATGGCGCTGAACGACATTGCGCTGTCATCGGGTAGTGCCTGTACCTCCGCTTCTCTGGAGCCCAGCTACGTGCTGCGGGCTCTGGGCAGCAGCGATGAGAGCGCCCACAGCAGTATCCGTTTCGGTATCGGTCGATTCACCTCGGATGAGGAGATTGACTACGTTCTGAAGGCTGTCCAGGCTCGCGTGTCTTTCTTGCGTGAACTGAGCCCGCTTTGGGAGTTGGTACAGGAGGGAATTGATCTGAACACGATCGAATGGAGCCAACACTGATCATATTAATTCTGATTTCTTGAGAAAAAGGCCCACTAGGGACGGCGTTGCAGTGTAACAACATCGAATTTTGTACAGACTGAGAAGAATCTCACAATTTAACTATTCTCCCCACCTTTTGAGTCTGATGTATTGTACATCTCCCAGGTCTTAACATTTGAGTGAGTTTTATAAAATGTGATCAATCATTAAGCCTAAAAAAACCTTTACTTTATTTCAATTTCTCCCGGCCCCGAAACCCCCGTGGTCTGAAGATGTTTCTACTTGAAAGAAGTTAAATTGTTTATCTACCGAGACTCGAGTTATTTAAGATGGTCTTGGCCGTGGCGAAAATAAATGACACCGTTTGGAAAAGAGCTACGTGATGCATCTATTCCTCATCCTTTACGCATTTGGCAGCAATGTGGCCGCTCTGGCTGGTTTCCAACCAGAGCTTTGGGTCATGACATCTTCCGGCTTGTTGAATGGGATATATAACAATTCTGCACGCACAGTACGGGGGTTTATTGGAATTCCATATGCCGAACCCCCAATTAAAAAACTGCGATGGGCACCACCACGCCCCAAATTACCAAGCTATGTCGATGCATCTTCCTTTAGAAGTCCCTGTCCACAGGTGCATACGTACTCCAATGAGTCCATTTGGAGTGTTCTCCCGTATAAGATATGGAATTCTGGAGACATGTCTGAAGACTGTCTATATATGAACATCTGGGCACCTTCTGTCAAGCATCAAGGCCAGGAACTTCACGCAGTCATGATTTTTATTCATGGAGGAAGTTATGACTCGGGAGGTAGTTCGGCTGCTTACTACGATGGCACGGATTTGGTACAGAATCACGATGTAATTGTTGTTACCTTAAAGTAAGGAGATGCTGAGAGTTTTATCTATCATCACTAAATTTCTGGTCAGTTATCGCCTCAACGTCTTTGGATTTCCTAATTCACCGGATATCGACCCTTCCAAGCAAAATCTCGGACTCCTGGACCAGGTATGTCTTGAAAGTGTATGGTTGATATGAACTAACCAGGTATGTAGCGATTGGCGATTGAGTGGGTTCATCAGAATATAGCCAAATTTGGTGGTGATCCAAATAGGATTCTTCTGTTTGGTCAATCTGCTGGGGCTGCTTCAGTCGATATCTATTCATATGCAGTGAGCACCTCGTTCTTATACTTGTTACCCTCACTAACATTTGATAGTATCCGGACGATCCACTCGTCAGCGCACTTGCTCTTGAATCCGGTACCGCTCCATTATTGACTACGGCTCCGGATCATCAAAATTGGAATGGACTGTCTATTGCTCTTGGGTGTGGCGTAGGAGACAAGTCCTTCAAATGCATGAGTCAGGTTCCAATGATGAAGATTGTCGAAGCGAGGGCCAAGGGTGTCTATACCTTTTTCCCCATTGTAGATGATGTCCTCGTCTTTTCCGACTATTCCGCTAGAGCTAAAAGCGGGAAACTAGCACGATTGGTTTGTGACCCCGAGATCTTTCTATGTCTTCCTTATTTAACCGATGCCTGTAGCCAACGTTGGCAGGGATTAACGAGCGTGAAGTTACGGCTCTATTACCACTCAGTCTGACATCCGTTGATGATACAGCAATCTACAAAACTACTCAAAGGGTATATAATTGTCCCCTCCGGGATTCTGTGAGGTAAGAACCCACATTCACGCGTTCACGATTTTAACCGTCCCATGTATCTAATATTCATGTAGGATTCGGTTGAGCCAGAATGTACCCATTTGGAGGTATCTATACCATGGGAATTTTAGCAATCTCAGCCCAACTCCATGGCTTGGAGCATATCATGGTTGTAAGAAGTCATCACGCCCTCCTTGCTGATTTTTGATCTAACGTGATGATAGCTGAGGTACCTCTGATTTTTGGAAACTATAATATGTCCACGGTGACCCCTTCATCCAAGGAAGTTGAAGCCAGTCGCTATATGCAAGGTAATCCCTTACAGGAGTCATGTCAGATTTTACCTTGATTGACCAATTTCTAGGAGGCTGGGTTGCATTTGCCAACAACCCTCGTACGGGACTGAGCACATATGGATGGCCCAGGTTTAACTTCGATGGTAAGATCTCCTTTCCATGATTTCTTTCTATGTTATCAAGCTGATCATAAGTATAGAGCTAACCTTAATCAATCTTGCTCTCAATAATACGACCCCGGCAATCTTTACTTTTGCTAGTTCATGGGATAATGATTGTGACAGTCTCATTGCTCGATCTGAGTTATGAGCTTGGCATTGAACATTTGTGGTACAATAACTCTTTTCCAGACTCATTTGAAATGTGTTTCATGATTATATACCGAACATTGCATGCATACGTGAGCAATTGTGACACCGGTAACCTTTCAGGGTTATATACCTCGGTAGATCTCTACCTAGGTACCTAGGTAGGTATGAAATTGCCTTAGTAATCATATATGTGTTTCAAAGGTTGGAACTGTTCAAAGGTTATATATATTTTTGTAAGAAAAAAAAGAAAAGAAAAGAAATAAAAGTTAAAGATGTGGTTGAATATAAAATAATGGTGTCATCTATTTTCCCCCCAGATCAATGACGATCCGGAGGAGAGTGAGTGAAGCGAATTTGAAGCCAAAATAAGCGAAAACAGCGAAATTGCCCGAAATTGGTTGGAATTGCCCGAAAATGCCCCAAAAGGGAATTTTACCGGACTCAAATTGGTTTAGTTCCTCTTTTTTTCGCACTCAATTTCTTCTTCGCTTAAATTGTCTCTCCACTTGGGCCTCGCGGATGCACTCAAGTTCTTCTTGGCATTTAGTACTTTGATTGTATAGCCATATAAAATGTACTCGATCTTCTATAGTTGAACCCTTTAATTATATTTGGTCTGATATGATCCACTCCTCTAAAACTTCCCCAAGGTCATCTAAAATGATTCACTCTACGGAGTATTCCCCCCCCTATATCGGAGTACTTCCTAACTCTATTATTATCTCTCTCTCTGTCTCTCGATTATTCCCGTCCAGGGATTCCCGGTGAAATTACGTGCTTTCTTTCAAAAGAAAAAAAAAAAACTCTGACCATTTAGCAGTCAGAAAAGGAAATTAATCTCGCATTCTATCTTCTTCCGTCATTATCCGCATATACTTTGACATCCGAAGTCTTCCTAATCTCTCTCGGGTCTCTCTGATCTTTATATTAGAATCCTTTTTATTCTCAAACTTTCTCCATCATTTCCATATTCTTGACTCTTTGAATATATCCTGTATCTGTGACTCGCGGGCGATCCAGAAATTTATCATGTTGCCTCCAGTGCCAAATCCTGCCGACTTTGGAGTTACTGCCAACTATGGTTTCCTTTCCCCAGAACTTCCCCTAGAGGTTCTCCCAGATCCCTACTATGCTGAATGGGAAATGATTATTGGGAATCTTCAACCATTGATATTGAGTAAACGTCTTCAGTCTATGGTGGAACATCTCCCGATACTTTCTACCACACATCTACAAACTGAGGCTGAGTGGCGTCGCGCATATGTCGTACTGGTATTTATACTGCATGGCTATGTCTGGGGTGGCAATTCGCCCACAGAGGTACCAATTCATCCTATTGGTTCCAAAAAAGTAGATGTACTGATTTTCTTGCAGAGGATCCCACCTCAACTTACAGTTCCTTTATTTGAAGTCTGTGAACGACTTGAATTACCCCCCGTTGCCACCTATGCTGGTGTCTGCCTTTGGAATTACAAGCCGATCTTCTCCGATGAGTCAGCTACCAACCTGGATAACCTAGCTTGCCTACAAACCTTTACAGGGTCTCTAGATGAGCAATGGTTCTACCTGGTTTCAGTCGCCATAGAAGCACGTGGGGCCCCTTCTATCCCCTTGATGCTTCGGGCTATCACGGCGGCCCGCACAGGAAATACCCATACTGTAACCGAGTGCCTGCAACGACTAGCAGAAATCATCGATGAGACCAACACACTGCTGCAGAGGATGTATGAACATTGCGATCCATATGTCTTCTACAACCGCATACGTCCTTATCTAGCTGGAAGTAAAAACATGCGTGATGCCGGATTGCCAAACGGTCTGCTGTACGATGACGGTCACAATCCCGAGTACCGGCAGTATGGAGGGGGCAGCAATGCTCAAAGCTCACTCATCCAATTCTTCGACATCGTCCTTGGAGTGGAACACCGACCCACTGGTACCAGTCGTGGCAATGAGCAAAACACTGAAGACGGCATCAAATCACGAAACAGCTTCATCCACGAAATGCGCACCTACATGCCTGGCCCACATCGACGATTCCTCGAGCAAATTGACTCAGTAGCCAACATCCGGCCTTTTGTCGAGGCACGACGCGGAGACTCGGCGCTGTGCATTGCATACGACGCATGCTTAGCCATGCTACGTGTTCTACGCGATAAGCATATTACTATAGTCTCACGCTATATTATCCTGCAGTCCCGCAGTGCACGCCAGCCTTCTCATTCTGCCAATCCAAACCCCCCAGCGATGAACCTTGCAACCGCGGCTCCGACTGACAAGAAGAAGCTGCGCGGTACGGGTGGCACGGCACTCATTCCTTTCCTGAAGCAAGCTCGAGACGAAACTGGAGAGCCTGCCATTGATGCCTGGGCACGACGGTTGCTGAGCAATGGCCCTGCAGATAAGAACTTTGCTTCGCTGAGCAAGGTTGGCGAACAACCAGATGGTCATCTTGAGGTTGTCGGTCTCTGTGGCACATGGACAGCCGATGAAAACGAGGGTGGAATTTGTCACTGGTAGTTTTGATTTTTTTTTATGGTTCAGTCTTCGAGCGTGGCATTGCATGTGGAATTATGTACGCCGTACGCGGCGACTTGGCGTTTGGGAGCTTGCATGGTGTCTTTCAACTGGTCATTACGAATTCCACCTGGATATTCTAGTTTATATGAACAGTATTCTTATGGAATATATTGGCCAAACCAACATAAGCTTTGATATGACGCTTAACCCCTAGAGTGAAACCGCGTCATTCACTGGACTTGATATTCACGTGACGTGACATCATGCCTCGAGTATCCACGTGATATGACATCACCGAATGACGTAGTTCATCATGACAATTAGAACCCATGTTGTAGAACTTCAATCTTGGAAGACCAGATTGGAGAAGGCACTAGAAAATGTGGCTTGTACAACATGGCTTATATATATGGGGGAACTTCCTGCCATGACTTTCAATCTTCACTACTTCATCAACCACTTCATTCTTCAACCATCCTTGATCCCTGATCTCTACCAACTCTCATATTTACCATCTACAATTCAAATTTCATCATGTCTGACAACACTGGAAACACTGGTAACGCCTCAACTGGTCAGTCTTACCTTGACCAAGCCACTGGTCTTGCTCAGCGTGCCATGGGCACTGTGACTGGCGATTCCTCCACTCAGGTTACCATCCCATTCTAGTCCCCCAACATCATTGTAAACTCATGACTAATTCATCTTAGGCCAAGGGTGAACTCAAACATGAGGAGGGCCAAGCCAAAAATGAAGCTTCCCACACAACCGCCAAGTTGGGTTCCTTTACTGCCGACCCGAACACCGGAGCCGTTGCCAAGGACGACCCTAAGCGCGATACAGGATCCTGGGACCAGACTGTTGGGTCTGCCAAGGAGTCTGTCGGCAACTTGATCGGAAACGAGAACCTGCGCCGCACTGGAGCTGAACAGAATGCCGCTGGCAAGGAACAAGAGGCCAAGGGCCAGCTCAAGGACTGGGGCTCGGGCATCCAGAACCGCGCTCAAGGTACCCTTGGATCCATTGGTGCTGCTGTCACTGGTAACCGCACCGAGGAGGAGAAGTACCGTGATATCCATGATGAGGGCAAGGTCCGCCAGCGTGGTGCCGAAGCCGATATGGCTAAGAAGGGTGGTGTTTAAACTTGACTGGAACATGACCTCAGTCTTTCTTTCTTAGTCACTTGTTTTACTATCACGATTTTTACGATGGCCTTGCTATGATATCCAAATTGATACCATTTTTTTATTCTACTTTATCCTTAGTAACTGTGAGCCAACCTATCTTGCGCACAGGTCTCACTAAGATGGTAAAATTCACATGAATCTGCATATCAATCTATTGCGACATCTCCGTAAATTTCCCCGCAGAAGAGAAATTCCCCGAGGATCTCACAGATGCCCCATACAGGCTCTTCCCCGCCTCTGACATCTGATCCCGGTGAGGCCGAGGTTGATCAACGGAGATGAGAAGATCTAGAACGGAAGGTTAACAATTAATTTAGCAAAGTAATTTTTGTATACATGTCATTTTTTGGGGCTAATGCAGAGATATTAGATAGATCGACGGGCCAAGAGGGGGTTAAGCATTTGATATACTATCGACTCTGCCCCATCTGAATGGACTGCATACATTTTTCCCTCTATTTTCTCATCTACTTTGACAGAATGAGATTCACGGCAGCTTTACTCTTTGTCGCAACAGCCTGGGGCTCCCAACACCATCACCAACGAGATACAGATAATGGCATCAATCTTGGTGCGATCACGAGCGCCTTGTATTTGACTCTTCAGGATAGCTAGTTTAGAAACATACTGATGCTTTTATAGAGAGCATATGATGGGCAACAAAACAGCCAGCGCAAACTTTGCCAACATCTCGCCGCCACCCAGGTCGCTGATCCCCGAGATCCTATCGGTGGTGCCCGTATCTGTCATCTGGGAACTTATCAACCCAGTGGAACGCAGCTCCCTCGCCAGTCAATTCAAGGCTGGCACTACTCCTGCCTGGTACAGTGCTCTCCCATCGGACGTGAAAGACTATATGTCAGTAGTCAAATCACAGATCTCGGCGGGAGCATTGACGGCCACAGCGTCTGAAACCAACCCCACAGCAAATACCGGGGCTGTAGCGACAGCAGCAACTGCTACCGGTGTCAATTCTGGATCGGCAAGCTCAACTTCATCTAAAGGAGCAGCTGCACAGCCTACAGGACTGACCGTATCGGCGTTGGGGGCGCTGGGAGTACTTGGACTAGCATTAGCTCTGTGATCCACATGAATTAGATACTGTGATGAGAAATCCAAAAGATTTGCATATCCGAATATATATGGGGCTCAAGGAAGACCGTTGCATTAAGCAAATGAGAATTTCTTCTAGATTAAATTTAATATAAAAATGACGAGGTGGCACTATACCAAAATTATATGACTGGGGATCTTTTTCTGATATCTCAGGTAGATCACTACTTAACTGAACTTGTTCTCCGAACTTCTCCTCTAAAGTGGATAATAAGCTGAGACAAGCCTTGGAACAAATGTCACCTCAACAAAAAAAGAAGAGAAGAAAAGATCAACATGACGATCTTCCACTAAAATGGTGACATTCTGGGGGGGATAAAATGGGGGGGTTAAGAGGGGGAGGGGGAAGATCCCATTGGGGATTCTTTTCTCTTTTGTCTCTCACATGGAATTGCTTATCCCTCGGTCTCATCAACATTGAGACTAGTAAGTCCTCGGACTATTTCCTAATTATATCTTATTATAATGGAATAGATGAGTTTGCTTATAAGACTCTAGAATGTTTATATCTTTTCTAATATTCCCTCACTTTTCATATAACAATATGAAAAATGCGTTTCTCACTTCTTTTCTCTTTGGCCCTGGCCCCCTTGGCTCTAACTGCCCCTGAGCCTAACCCTGTCGCTGCTCCAGCCCCGGTCGCTAGTGCTGGTCTATTGGAAGATCTACCCGAACTCCTGAATGGTGTTCAAGGTCTCTTGAGCACTGAAAACATCGACAAGCTGGATACGATCCTCGATGGTGCAGCCAAGTTGCTCGCCCCCGATAATATTGATATCCTACAGGATATCTTGAAGAACGCTCATAGCTTGTTGACCAAGAGCTTTGTCGATAACACAACTACCCTCATTGGGGATGCCACACCGGTATGTACTTCTGTTTCCTTTTTATGTACCTTCTACTAATGCACTATGTAGCTGGTTGAGGATATTTCCAAGCTTCTGGGTGGTGTTTTAGGATCATTGTGAGAAGTAAAATAAATGAATGACAATTGCTATATCTTATTTTATTCAATTTAAAAGGACTGTAGATGAAAAAAAAAATGAAATAAATCCACAGAATAATCACATATGGGTATTATACAAGCAAATCATTAGATTAGAAAACCATTAAATCACATTCATCTTCTCTTTAAGCCGATCCTGGTAGAATTTCAAAGGGTATGCTCGCCACTTATCAGGCATTGCTGGATAAAGAGCGACCGAGAAGCCCATCCAGGTTCGGTAAAGGGCCCGAGTGCTAATAGTCGAGCGCAAACCGTAGGCATCACGCAGACGCGGGGGCAACATCTCAGTCGTAGTAACACGTAAGAATGGCTTCAAGGTCTGTACCCAGCGTGGCATATCGTTACTCTCTCGAAGATCCTTAGCAAACAAAGCCGCATCCTCCGAAACAGTCAATCGGGGGACCTGATCATCCCAGTAAGCCCAAAATGCCTGGCGGGAGTCTGGCCAGGTACCGGTGGGAACACCCAGGCAGTTCATAAGCAAAGCATATTCGCTGTATGCACGCTCAGCACTGGCGTAGTCCACGCGGCCATAGACACGCTGGTAGAAATCGGTCGCAGTTGCGTACAGTGTCGCCGCCATCCACAACTGCAGTGGTGGATGCTCAGCAAAACGATTCGAGCGACCGCCACCTAGTAGGGGCGGTTTACCGTCTCTCAGGAGACTGATGAGAACCTTGCGTTCATCACGGGTACCGAAGACCAAGCAGGAAATGTAGCTGATATTGGCCTGAAGAGCGTCGATAAGCTCGGTGGCTAGCTCCTTGTGGCCACCATTGTTCGGGCCTGCATCACGGATTCCGGGCATGGCAGCTTGCAATAACAACGTTGCACCAGATCCTGCGAAGAGGATACCCTCCTGGAGCATCTTAGGGAGGACCTCTAGCTGTTCCAGGGCATGAAGACGACCTGAGTCGGTATTGTTTACGGTCGCATCGGAACCACTTGGAAGGTCTTTGAGGGACTTTTCGTCCACTGGGGAGACGGGCGATGAAGGGAAAGACATGGTTGGAAAAGGTTGTCAATACCTAGGGATTGGCGAGTATATCTCATTTAATATTTCAATTCCAAACCTTCAAATCTTCCCCAGAAACTCCCCGCAAAACCCCGAGAAACCCCCCCAAAAAACGTGTTCTAGTGAGATGTCGATCATCTCGGCCCATGTGAATAGTGTCGCCGTTCATAGGAATAAGCCGCGGCTGGTAGCAGATCGCCATCTCCTGAAGCGCAGATCCCTCCCCTCTTCTGCGTCATTCGCCAAAGAAAGCAATCCTGCTCCGAAAACCCGCTTTATTTCCTTTTTTTTTTTCTTCTCTTATGGGGTCCCGCTTCGGTGTATGGAGTATGGAGAGAAGACGAAGTCCGGGGGATCCATTGGGGCTAAATAAATATACGCAGAAATCCTCCCCCTTAAGGTCACCAAGTCGAAATTGTGATCATGGGCAATACAGATACACCAGCATATCTGACTTCAGATGATGCCAGATACACTCTAGGTATTCATCGTGGTCCATTAGTATCCAAGAATGAAGATGAAGGTGCCCAACTCGCACAGGTCGAGTCGATCGGTGGCCTGTCATTGGAAACGAGGAAGTTGAAGCGCAGCGAGAAATTCCAGCGCCATTGGAAACGATTCTGGTGTCTGCATCTTTTGGTGACTATCATTTTTCTGGCGATTTTCTTGCCTGTCTTGTCAGTTCTCTAGCCCAAATTGACGAACAATAGCTAATTACAACTATAGCTTTTTGGTTGCCATTCCAGCCATCTCACAGATGGTAGTGAACAAGTCTGACTTAGTATTGGTCAATGCCTCAGTCTTAAACCCCCGACCGGACAAGATTCAATTGACGCTGTTGTCGGCATTGGACCTCAAAATTGCATTGCCAGTACGCATCGAGCCCATCACATTAGATCTGTTCGTGCGCGATACGGGGGCAGAGAATGCATGGGGTCAGGCTAAAATTGATGGCAAAGTCATCAAGGGCAACACTACTCTTGGTGTGGACAAGGTCGAGACGCCATTGACCAACTTGGACACCTGGGAGGAGTATGTACACAATGTCGTGTTTGAAAAGGAGACTGCTCTGTCGGTCAAAGGTGTGACTAATTCATACTTGGGTGTACTCAAGTCTAAGGTCACTATGGACAAGAATATCATGTCGCCAGGTAAGCCGAAGAAGCAAATCATTCTAGAAGTGAAGCTGAAACTGACTTTCTTCCAAGTGCTGGACCAGTTCAAGAAATTCAGTATAGCCGACAGTGGACTCATTGCACCCCTTGAGGACGGCACCAATCTCGTCGGGAATGCCACCCTCCCCAACCCGTCCGTGTTGACTCTTGACATTGGCACAATCGTCCTCGACGTGAAGAGCGGCGATCTTGTCATTGGAAACGCCACCCTTAAAGATGTCACTATTAAACCAGGCGACAACGTCTTTCCTCTAACTGGAATTCTCGACATCCACACCATGGTCGAGAATCTCGGAAAGGTGCTCGCCTCTCAGGCAAATGCCCTCAAAACCGGCAGCCTAGCGCTGGATACCGTAACCCGAACCGTCACCTGGAATGGCACGCTGGTACCATACTACACCAACGTGATGAAGCAGCTAACGCTGACGGCAAACGTTCCAATCGCTGATCTAATTAAGAACACTGTTCACAATCTGCTGAGCAGCAATCAAACCCTGAAAGACATTATCAACTCAGGGGGCGACACGACCGAGCTGCTAGGTGACCTCGCTCACAGCAATGAAGACAGCGATACTGCCAATTCACTATCCGACACCTCCGACCTCGCATCAAAGATGAAGGCGAACCTTGCCGTGCGTGACATGTTCCGTGACACGCATCCGGTTAAACGGGATACAGCTATCAACTTACTGGCCGGGATGTACAAGAAGCTGTGAAATGCTAGTTACATTTCACATTTGCTTTCTTTTCTTTTTGCAATTACTTTTCCTTTTCTTATAAAGGTTTCCGGATTCTGGGTTCTGTGTACATGATTGCGCTCGCGCGCTAATGCCTAGACGATACTTGATTCCCCTTTGGGTTATGGCAGTGGCCTTTGTTTTTGGATGGCGTTATGGGACTGTACAGCTGTCTTTCTATCTTTAGGGATAGGGATCAGATCTAATGTTTTTGCTTTTCCTGTCGATTCCACTCCTAAGGCAGTGCATTGGTCTCGTGTACTTTCTATATACATGGCTGCCTGTCGGTCTGGGCTTGAGTCGGTGCAGATGATAATGCATAAATTATAAATTATATGATGATACGAAGAGATCTCATCCTTGCATTAGTTTGTAGGGCTTGCATAGTGTTTCGTGGAAATGGGCCGTCGGCTTGACACAATGCACCTAATAGAGGAGCATGTTCATGTCAAACTGCATTGATCTTTGCTAAGGCTACCTGTTCCAATAGCTCCATGTTCTTTTAATTTGGTAGCTGATCGAGACGATATTAAAATATTAGAGGAATTGACAGTCCACCTGGGCACGCTGGGTGTCAAGCTTGGACGCTCGAGCTCCCGGTTTGAGGAATTGTTATAGAATGGAGCACATCTGCATATATCAATTAATTCCCAAGGCGTCCAACTGTAAATGTTTATGAATCCGAAATGAGGTTTGCTGCCCAAGGCCTCCTGCCCGAATCGACCGTCTTTAGTGCTGAGATGGAAGCATGCACGACCTCGTATCCTAAGTTTACTCTGTGCTGATTCATGTAAATTTAACTTGTTTTTTTTTTATTAATATAGGCTATTAGCAATATTCTATCATCTTGTAACTATATTTGATCCTGCCTGTGTTGATTTATGCGCTCGCCTTCCAAAATCGATCCCTTATGCCACGTAGATAGTACCCACGTTTGATACCCATGTAAAAGGGCGGTGCTTCTTCCACCAAGTTGCGTGAAGGGTAATATGGGGGTGGTGGCTTTAGAGTCGGTGGGAACAGATCCCCGGGATCCTGGTGATCTGCACGAGATGTAGCAGTAGGAAGAGGAGTCGTAATAGGAATTTGAAAATGAGGATCAAAGCTAATGAGGATAAGAGCTTGTTGATTTGGGGGAAGTCCGGGAGCGTCAATGGAATAGATGATTGAGCGTTCATCTGCGATACTTTTCACAGATCCAGTGCGTGGGCCTGGGCAGAGTAATTGTTGTAATGCAGGCGGAGCGTCATCTGGAGGCCACATATGCACGCCACGACACTCGAAGCGTTCCTCAGAACCTTCAATGGGCCGGCCATATTGGTCCACCTGGGTGGGTTGAAACAGGCGGTTGCGAGGTCCCTCAATTCCCTCCTCGTCAATGGGACATTTGCGCTTGCGTGACACCGTACGAAGCCGAATTCGGTCTCGAGACCGCAAATTATCACCGGCAGGGTCGTTGACAAGGTCGACAAAGGTAGATGCACCGAGATGGTAACTTCTGTGTTTAGTGCGAGCTGGGATGAACTCCTGCCGCTTTGTAGCGCCAGACTCGTACTCGGCATGGTAATGCCGCCGCAACCTCTTTGCAGGTCGCTCATCGTAGGGGTATTCGTTATCAGGATCATAATCCATGGAAACCCAGGAAGGAGTTTCGATGGTGCCCCCTGAAAGAGGCGCTAGGGCTTCTTCTGGTGTGGGAAGTCGCTGTGTGTAATATGTTCGGTGGTTTTCGCTCTTGCCATCCCGCCATTCGCGGCGACATTCAAGTATGACTGGCCGGCCAGTCGTCTCATCCTTACGGATTGAAAGATCAGTCCACATTTCATTGATGGGACCTTCCTGGTGTTCTCGGCGCCAGAAGCGACCGTTCCATTTGCGGCCTTCTTCGCGAGGGGCCTGACAGAGCCAATGGTAGAAAGATGAGTGGACTTCATCGTCATCTGAGGCGACCTGCGTCGAAACTGCATAGAGATGTTCATCATGCATCTCAAAACACAGCGTTTGGCCAAGATCGCCATCGACCACTCGGTCGAGAGGGAAGTTAATACAGGCATGCGTTTCAAGATCCACACCAGTGATAGACCACACACCATCCGAACCATCGGCGGCGGTAAATGTACCATACCAAATATAGGATCCACTGTGTCGCACAAATATTGGTGCGGATGCTGGGATTGCTTCATGGAGCAGCAAACGTCTCCGTTTCTGGTGGGTTTCTCGCCACGCCATGTTGACTACGAGCAACGCGTCCTCGGTCGCATTCATCTCAGCCACTCGGAACACGAGAATATCATCGCTGTAGCTCAAGAGGGTAACCCGATCTGCTGCATCTGGCCCTACTGGATCGGTTTCCAGCAGTCGAGGGATGACATCGCGGAGGTCCATGACACGCTCCCTGAACGCAGTACCATGCACATACAGCAACCGAATCCAATGGTCAGAGCGATAACACAAATAGCCTTGGTTATAAAGAAATTCGGCTCCGTATCCTAAGCAGACCACTGAATATGGATCTGCCGTGGCGACAGCCTCGTGAATAGCAAACCGATGCCCGACAGCTTTACGAAACCCAGACTGGGCCGCCACGGCAGCCTGACCTTCTTTGCTATGAAGTAAAACATTCTGTAAATTGGGATTAGAATTGTAATTCGAGAGAGGGGGCTGAGTTGGTCTACCTCGACGGTTTTGCGAGCAATCTGTTCGCTTTGCGACAGAGAATAGAGAGCACGATTGGTGCGGCTGAGGTTCACAAAATCACGATCGTCCAGCGAGGTCGCGATCTGGTAAAACACATCAAATGGAAGAGTATCCAGACCCTGTTGAGCGGTCATGGCTATAAGAGTGGGTAAATAGGTTTCTCAAGTGATCAAGGGAGAGTGAGTCTCAAACAAAAGGGCGACTGCCATGAGAAAAAAGAAAAACAAAACAAAGTCCATATCCTAAATTCATACATGAAGGAAAGAACGCGATTTATGTTCAAGAGGAAAGTGAGATTCGAGAGAAAGAGGAGGTTGAGGCTCAATTGTCGCAAAGGGGAATAGTTCCAGATGAGTTACCATGGAACCCCTCGTACCAAAAACCTTGGGACCACAAGAGCCTCATAAAACTAGACCAAACTAGACCTAAAATGGTAATTTTTAAAATCGTGAAACCTTGGAACGGTCCAGGGTTTATGAAGTGTAAGAAAGTAAGAAGTAGATCTCCCCGGATCACGCAATTGTCATCACAGGGGGCGATCAGATCTCTCTTTGAGGCTCTTAATGTCTTTTTTGGTTCGGATTACACCCAACATCTCCGAAACATATGGCTCATCACATCTACATTAGGCCTAAGACACATGTACACGATCTCTCTCGTGACTCGGATTAGGTGGGGTCCGTAGGTTCTATCCAAGATCCTTCGATCCTTCCAAACCTACCTAGGTAAGTCCTATCGGATCTTCGGTGCATATGTGTGGCCCCCCCTGGGTGGCAATTAATAGCGTGAATAAAGAGAGCTGATACTATGTTGTATGTACTCCGTGGTACTCCGTACTCCCGTACTCCTATAGACCTTTGTTTACAATTTGCCCCATTAAATCTGAGAACAAGTGTTATATTCTACAGAGCCGCATTGACGCGTCTTTACCAAGCCACCGCCTCAGTGGCAAAATTAGTTTCACCTACGCACTTTTATGCATACTACCTAAGTCGCCCAGCTATTCTTAGTTTAGTTCTTACTCCGAAACTCCGTACTACTTTCTTACTTTCTTGACTAATGTCACAAAGACAAATGGTCACGTGATGACAGAAAAAGTCGCTGCCTAACTTAGATAGCCTTAGGCTTTGAATTTCTTGTTTTTCATTATTACATATTACATCTTAGATTACAGCAATATGGAGTAGAGCTATTGGAGGTCTGATGAATAATATACCTAAATTAGAGTGATTGACCTGCAGCCCTAACGGTGGATCCCAATATCTCCCCCTCCTTTGTACTTTGTATACATGTCAATTGCCCAGGCACTAAACTTGTGGAGGGAAGGTGTAAAGGTCCGATTTGCGTGACCCACCCCAAGTCAGCCGAATTACTTTTTAAGCAATTCAACTTCTTCTTTTCTCTTTTATCTGGAGATTATATCTCTAAGAGATGTATTATCCACCTCCAGGTCGCCCTCCAGGGCAAGGGTCACAATGGGGAGGATATCAACAACCCCCCCAATGGCAACCTCCGCCTCAGCCTTACGGATATCGACCCCAATCATCTTATTCGACTCCTAGTCATTCCCCTTACCCACCATCGCCTTATCCTCAACCTCAGTATCCTTATCCCCAATATCCTCCCTCTCCTACCCCGCCATATGGCCAAACTCCATCTCCTTGCCCTCCCTCTCACCGACATACTCTGAGCGCCCCTCAGAATGGTAAAGTGCTATATGCCAAGAAAATTTGGGCATCTCTAACCATCAAATAGGATTTGCTCGTGCGAATTCCCCGAATCTCCCCCCAGCCCCACCACAGAACTTTCAGCAATTCGGTGGAGGTGCCCCGTCGAACTACAGGTTCCAGTACTCGGCCTGTACCGGTCGCCGCAGGGCATTGTTGATCGGAATCAACTATGCGGGACAGCCTAATGCACTGAGAGGCTGTATCAACGATGTCACTAACATGTCGAACTTCCTGACCCAGAGATTCGGGTACAAGCGTGAGGACATGGTCATTCTGACTGACGACCAACGGAACCCAATGAGTCTCCCCACCAAGGCCAACATTTTACGTGCCATGCACTGGCTTGTCAAGGATGCCCAACCTAACGATTCCTTGTTCATCCACTTCTCTGGCCACGGAGGTCGTACTCCCGATCTGGATGGAGACGAGGACGATGGATTCGACGATGTTATCTACCCACTGGACTACCGCGTTGCCGGCCACATTGTCGATGATGATATGCATGCGATTATGGTGCGTCCACTGCGACCAGGAGTACGATTGACGGCGATCTTCGATTCATGCCACTCGGGCACTGCATTGGATCTACCGTATGTCTACTCGACGCAAGGTGTTCTCAAGGAACCCAATCTGGCCAAGGAGGCAGCTCTGGACTTGTTTAGTGCATTCAATTCATATGGACAAGGGGATCTTTCCAGTGTGGCCTCGACGGCTATCGGATTCTTCAAAAAGGCCGCCAATGGGGGGTCGGCCCGTGAGCGCACGATTATGACCAAGACCTCTCCGGCCGACGTTGTGATGTTTTCAGGGTCCAAGGATACACAAACCTCGTCAGTGTAGAATTTTTAAAATAAAAAAGATAAGAAACCAAGCTAACCTCCCCAAAACAGGGCGGATACATTCCAAGATGGACAAGCGCGTGGTGCATTAAGTTGGGCGTTTATCAAATCACTGCAACAGTGGCCTCAGCAGAGTTACCTGCAGTTGCTCAACACGATCCGAAATGAGCTGGAGGGTAAATACTCACAGAAGCCGCAATTGAGCTGCAGCCATCCTCTTGGTAAGTTTGAATTTCATTCACTGTGACTCAGGCTGACTCTAGATACTTTTCCAAAGATACCAATCTCCGTTTTGTGATGTAAAAGAGAGTTTCCTAAAGCAAATCACCTGAGATGATCAAGTCCCGTGGGGGAATATTACATGTATTGTAGTATTTTAACTGTAATGCATGTCATCTCCATATTATATTGTATTTTATATTGTAATAATCTGTACTCTGTATAGTTCAATAACAAATCCGATCCCGCAGTGGATCTCTCGGCACAAATGTTTTTGTTTCTCTTCTTTTAAGGAGACCATAGTTATTATATTTATATAATTACAATATAATTACAGAATACTCCGTACAGAGTAAGACATCTCCCTATATCTCATATAAATAGTAAATGTCTTAAAATATTATAAGTATAAGTATAGAATGGCGCCATTTCCCCCCCCCCCCCTGGGAATCGAACCAATTAATGAGGAATCCACAGTTCCCGGGAACCACAGCCCCTATACTCCGTACACACGGACTTTTTGTATTGCGTAGACGTGAAGAATGTACTAAAGATCGTGGCTTTTTCATGGCGTGATATGAGGCATCTGATAATGGTTTTTTTTTTCCCTTATGAAACTTCTAGTTATGTTTATTGTTTATATAGATATGATACTCCTGTAGATAATCTAATAATAGTCTAGGAAAATAAAAAAACATTGAAAGATCTATTTACTAAATTACAAGTCATCTAAGTGTTACGAAGCTAAAAAGTGTCGATGTCTCTGATCCACTTTTGGTCTTTTTCAGAATTCCATCTACCTTTTTGATCTTTTTTTTTCTTTCTTTCTCTTCTCAAGATCCTTTTCCTTTTCTGACCTATCGAAGCCATGTTGACTTCATCGGCAACAAACAGTTCTTATTCCTCCAGTGTCTCCTCCGAGCCTCACTCTCCATATCAACATCCCCCCGCATCCACTCTTTCACTAAACTCCCGTCGTCCAATGACTGTCAAATACCCTCGGTTTTACTCCTCTCCCATGGATCAGGAAACAGATTCAACCCCTCTTCAAGTTTACGGCTTAGAGCAACGAGAACCTTCCATCTACGGCAAACCTCCCAAACTATTCCGTCGAGTATCACACGTCCTAGGTGATATCCGTGAAGACTTGTCCATGGACGCTCGCCAAACTACCGAAAAACTCAAGCGTCGCTCAACTATGTTCTCTGATGGGCCTATTTTGAGTGCTCCCCCATCACACTCAGTTCCAATGACATCTCATGGACCCCCGCGGTCGCGGCCAATGTCCACCATCTCCTTCGACAACTGGTCTGTTCCAAAACGAGGAATGAGCCAGCGAATCTCCCGTCGGTTGTCAGTGTTCTCTTTGCGGGGCAAGCCCAAGGGAGCTAACATTTCCTCGCCGAATCTGATCGGTTCATCAACTCAATACGAAAACAGAAGCCAAGCTTCGTTTATTTAATGACCGCATGAGACAATTAAAGAAAAAAAAAGAGGAAAAGAAAAGAGTTACCTATCTTTGATGGGATCGCCCGAATCATGCAATACACAGATATTCATACACGGGGAACAGGGGGTGTTACGTTATAATCATTCATTTTTGGACAATTTCCTTTTCTGTTATATCCATCATTTTTTGGGGGTGGAAAGCGATCTTTTTGAATTTATTAATCGCTAGTTCATGTTTTGAAGTTTTCGACTTCTCTTGACTTGCGCATAGCTTGGTGTTTTTGGGATTTTTGGATTTCTGGATTCTTTCTGGATTCTTTTGAACTATTGTTTTTTTTGTTTCTCTTGACATATCAGAATATTATATCATATACAAAATCCCTTGAATGCTAGTACGGAGTACTCCGTACCGAGTATATCGAGTCCACTAAGTATCACGCTAATTACGCCACTATGCAGTTGACATTTCACTTTAAACCGGACTTAACCTCCTAAAAATAAAGCCCGAAAACGTTCGGGAGTGATTCTAAATGCGACCGCTTAATATATGAAACTGAAATGGCATCAAATGCCAAGATGGAAAGAATGATATGGGGGAATGTACATAAAATAAGCCGTGTTTGGAATGCCCTTGTGATTTGTTACAAGAATGGAGGCTTAGGTATTGGAATAAAATATCAAGTGAATATCAAGTGATTACAGCAGACACGAATATGGATTATTCGATGCTATATCCTTTCGCGTGTCAGGTATAGTCATTGCATATATATATTTTCTTGTATTCTATAGCACATAACTTGCTATAGGTTGTAGGAATATAGTCTTATGCTCTGCTTAACGTTCAAATACAAAATCTCTCCACTATATAGTTGCTCATGGCTTTGCAAAGTCTATCACAGTCTAATACTTACGTCTGCCTCTCTCCCTCGGTCCATTCCACATGCTCTGCTGCCTCGACAGACATCACTGCCTTGCCAGTCGCTCGCTCGAACTCTTCATATTCGCGCTCAATGTATTTCTGCGGGCGTTTTTTGCAGATGGCATCAGTGTCTCCAGATACAATCAACGATGGGTTGGTACGGTAATAGGCATCAAGATCCTCGAGACTCCGGTTGGCTACAATGACAGTGAGAAAGAGAAACAGCAAAGAGTATTTGAACATACCTGTCTCCGGGTAGAAAAAGTAGAGAATAGGTAGGAAAACAGCATTGGTCACCGTCCAGACAATCCAAAACTTCCAACCAATACTCTGAATTCCGATTGGAGTGATCTCCACGACGATGAAATTTGTGATCCTGTATTTTGTCAAAAGAGAACCCCAGGGCGACATACCCGCCACTTAAATACGTACCAGTCGGTAGCAGTTGCAGCCGCAGCACCCTTTGTCCGCATCGGTAGAGAGTTGATCTCAGTGGGATACAACCAAGGCACTCCCAGCATGCCAATACCGAAAGCCCCATAATAAAGGAAGAAAAACACCACCGAAGCATTACCGTATACGCTACCATTGTCACTAGTCTCGGCATACCGAATCAGAACAGTAATAACGAGGAAGCACACGAACTGCCCAAATGTCGATAGAATCATCAGACCACGGCGGCCCATACGCTCAATCAAGAGCACGGCTATACCTGAGAAAATCAGGTACGAAACAGCGTTGCAAGCCGACAGCAATCGAGCCATTTTCTCCGGCAAACCAACCGATTTGGTCAGGACAGTGGGCATGTAATAGGACATGATGTTGATACCGCCGAGCTGCTGCATGAACTGACTACCTATACCAAGGAAGAGTCTGCGCAGTGTCTTGGTATCATTTTTCTTGTCTTTCTTGAGAAGATCGCGCCAGCTCATGGCGTTCTGACGCTCGTATTGAATACTGTATGCGATTTCGTTGCGCTGAGTTATAACGACGGGGTCATCAATCGGTTTCGCTTCGAGACAGCTGAGGACTTCAATTGCCTCTTCTTCTTTGCCGTGGGCGAGCAGCCAACTGTGGGTATATTGTTAGGTGAAACCACCATTAATGAAAGGATTGGCGTGCGTGCTTACCGAGGAGACTCTGGCAGCCATGGCGTTGTACCCCACAGAATGAAGAGGAAAAAGAATTGAAATGCAAGTGGGAACCGCCAGGCCACAGAGCCGCCTGCAAATGATAGTCCATAGTTGATCCAGTTGACGAGACAGAAACCGGCGATATTCATCATCATATCGAGGATTACCAGTTTTCCGCGCCATTTCGTTTGGGATGTTTCAGTCTGCCAAATTGGAGCTGTAGCAGTATTTATGCCTATTGCTCGTCAATATTATATTTCTGTTGGATCTAAGGATCTTGTTTACCATTTCCAACACTACAAGAGATGTTAGGCGACTATCAACTGTTGTGAAGAAAAGGTCACTTACCCTAAGACGATCCGGCCAACAAACATCTGCGCCAAACTAAACGAACTTGTTTGAACGATAGCCCCTACTGCCATGACTGTAGTTCCTAACAGAATAGCTTTCTTTCGGCCCAGACGCTCCCCAATGGTGAAAGCGATAATAGCCCCGAAGAAACAACCAATGTCATAAATGGCAGTCACTGTAGATAGGGCTGTTGTCTTTGTAGGTCCGACCAGATCGTGGCTTTCAAGGAAATCTTGTGTGATCACAACGCCGCCTGAATTGAAAATTAGGGTTGATCGGAGATTTCATAATTGTTTAGTATATAGTACTCACTGAACACTCCTTGGTCGTAACCAAATAAGGACATATCAGTTGCGCATGCCACCTAAGACAAAACATGTCAATTGATTCTAAGAATTAGAATTATAGAACCATACCGTAATCCAGAAGGTCAGCCATCCTCCTGTTAACCCGAAGTAGGGTTTTTTCTGTGAAACAGTAGTCATGTCAGGAAATCAAAATGAAATATCCACACTGTGACCACGTTCTAAGTGGGACTTTCATCCTTTATATAGTATAGAAATAGGCTAAACACTACAATGTAAGGGACAAGACTCCGGGGAATGATCTCCCGAGGCTCCGCTCTGAAGTCCGGGGGATAAACGCGGGGGGAAACGGCAAAATGGTTGTATCCATTATCCAAAAAGGGTATCCCGTAGGATTTGATCGTCTAATTTTGATACCGGATAGAGGTAGATTGAATGTCCTCTGAATTTATATGGAAAGATGGCCGATGTCCTTGCGTCACTGATTTAATTGCATTGTGGGGGGGGGAAGGGCATAAATCGGCTATTATTGCGGCTTCTATCAAGGAAAAGCACATACATGCAGTAAATCGTCCGACCTGAAAGATAAGGTATGAATGGAGCTCTGTATGTCTAGGTTTATGCCAAGTGTGATCATTCTACTCGATTCATTTACTGGGAACGTATTCTTAACGGATGGTGTTACATGCCTAAGTAGATGGTATAAGGGCTGCCATAAAGAAAATTTAAAGGAATAACCGGGAAAACACCGTCTGAAAACACCTCAACCTGCAATCCAAGAGGAAATGTTCAAAGTAACCTTCTGATAGCAAGGTGCGTCTGCATAATCCAAAATCCCAAGATCCCAAAACCCCACGTATAATACGCCAAAATCCCAAACCCCCGACGTGTCTAGAACATGAAGCCAGTCCATGCGCCCCGAGGATGCACGTGCAACCTGCACAACATCTCCATCCCCCGGGTCCTGCCCTATCTAGTCCTACTCAAAATCACAGAGTGACGCTCTCGAGATCACGCATCACAATACCCATTTGAGCGCGCTTGGCTGCCTCAGCCACGAGATTGAAATCTTGCAGAAAGGGTGCTGTGGCAGTTGGACCCCCTAGGCCATTTATCTGGTGGGGATAGGCATCGGACTTGGGCGCCGGAGCGGGGGCTCCATTCATAGGTAATACTGCATGGGTGTTGGCTGCGGGGGCGATGGGAAGGGTGCTCGGGTTGGATGTGTTGCCGAATGCTTGTGACAAAGGTTGCATGGGAGGGGCGGAGGTCTGCGGGGAACAGGCAGATTGTAGCGAGGGTGAAGAGAACACCTGTCTAGTCGCATTCGATGCGACTTCTAGGGTACTTTGAGTCTGGGATGTCATATTGGACTGTCCAGTGGAAGGGTCGAGGGTCGAGGAAGGATGTAAGGAGGTGGGCTGGACGAGAGGTGCTTGAGGATTGTAGGTTCGCAGGGTCGAGTCCATGACGTGACTAAAACGGTCCGGTCTTCACGCAAAAAAAAAAAAAAAAAGTAGGTCACAGTGGACGTGGACTTGGGGTAGATGGAATAACGGGGAGGAGAAAAGGGGTTTTTGGCTATGAACAAAGATGCGAAGGGGAGAGTGGAAAAGAAAGCAGAGTGGCAAGGAAATCGAAGCCGCTCAAATCGACCGAGGATGCAAAGTGCAAAGCTAAGACGGATTTAGCCGGAATTCCCGATTAAGTAGACACTGGACCAAATTGAGAGAGGTGAAGGAGACAGATGTGCAGTTTAAAACGTTCTAAGTCAGAGATTTTACATATAATCTCCCAAAGTGCATATGACCTTTTCCAACTGCACTTTCCTCCCACCCCGAGATTTGTCCGCGTATTGTAATCGTATTGTAACGGTATCTCCACGCCTTTGTCTCCGCATCACGTGTTATACACGTGACCTTCTATTGACATCTATCTAATGTGATAGTTATCTCTAGAATTGTATGTTTTAGGTTGTTTTAGACAATTATACAATTCAAAAGAACATTGCCTGATGGATACACATGCCCAATATCCAATACTAAACCCGAGAGATCCGGTAATCTCTTGCTCTGTTAGCCCACTTTATTGATGCCTGAGGCAATTAACAATATGCACGATAAGAAATTGATAAACCGATAGTACTCTGATATTTTTTCCCCTCCATTAAACATTGAAGTCATACTGTATATACTACCATGGCTGACGAATTTGATTCGGGGAATCTATTCCAGGACCCAGAAGGGTACTATCCTGAAGATGAGCCGCCCACATTTGCCGAGCACTGTATGCTATCGGGCCAGAAAGTCCGCGTCCGTCTCGTGGGCAATCACCCTCTCTATGTATGATATCAATTGACATGACCAGCCGAGTACATACTTACAGACCTTGACAGGGGAACTTGCTATGGAACGCTGGCCGAACCAGCTCTCATTACATTGAGGAGCACACCGAGGATCTCATTCGAAACAAAAATGTCCTTGAGATTGGTGCCGCAGCAGGCGTTCCTAGCATTGTGAGCGCTATTCAGGGCGCCCGGACAGTGGTATTGACCGACTATCCGGATCCAGATCTAGTTGAAAACATGAAGTACAACGCAGAGTTGTCGGCCAGTCTTATTCCCGCCAGGGAAGACGGAAAACCCCGCCTTCATGTCGATGGCTACAAATGGGGAAGCGATGTGAACCCGCTGCGGGCGTATCTTCCTCCTGCTGCTGATGGCTCTCCATCCTTGTTTGATGTCCTGATCATGGCAGATGTGGTATACAGCCACCGCGAGCACCCGAATCTGATCAAAACCATGCAGCAGACCATGAAGAAGGACTCAAACTCTGTTGCTCTGGTTATTTTCACCCCCTACCAGCCCTGGCTGTTGCCCAAGACCGAGCAGTTCTTCCCGTTGGCCGAGGCGAGTGGTTTCACTGTCACCAAGATCTTTGAGAAGGTGATGGATGCGGTGTTGTTTGAAGATGACCCTGGCGTAAGTCTAAATTTTGAGAATTCTCCTTTTAAGTCATGTCCATAATGCTAACTCTTTATAGGATGAGAGGCTCCGAAGAACTGTCTTTGGATATGAGATCCGATGGGCGCAGGATCAATTGGAGGATTCATCCAAGGCTGTTTGAGCGCTGATTTGATACCCCAGCCTACTTGGAACGATGACATGATTACATGACAAAAGTTCGATAGATTTAATATACATTGAATCCGAAATCACCCTTGATTCCCACGTCTGTCCTATTTATCTAGTAACTAAATGTTTCTGACTCGTGCTTCAGGCCTCAATGTCACTATGCTAGCCATGCTCTCTTGCTTTTTTTCTCTCATCCTATTGGAATCAGTAAATCATAGCGACTACAATCATATCAATTAATAAAATAATCCAAAATTCATGATAGTCCTGGAGAGCTTAGGTGGGATGTAGATGCGGGTCACATGCCACAACCCCCCGCAAGAAAAAAAAAAAGTCCACTTGAACAAACACCAACAACCAAAGATGCCGGTATGTCGAGAAAACTAAACATTCTGCGATCCAATCTGACAGATATACATTCAGCTCGTCGTGTTAACCGGATACCCGTGCTCTGGCCTCACCCACCGCGCCAATCAACTCGCATCACTGTTTGAGAAACATCAAGATGAAGTATTCGCAGCAGCCGAAGCAGGCGCCCAGGTCTCGTTGAAGTCTCGATACAAGGTCCATGTGGTCGCTTCACATGACTCCTCCCATCCACGGATTGTTTACGACCATGCCCGCACCGAGAAGGAGGCGCGCGGGGTGGCCTACGCGAGAGCCAAACGTGTGCTCAAACGGGACAGCATCGTCATCCTCGACGGAATGAATTATATCAAAGGATGGAGGTACCAGCTATGGTGTGAGGCGAAAGCTGCACAAACGACATGCTGCGTGGTATGAGATTCGAATGCGCAAGAATGATTTGCGACACCCAATAGCTGACAAGTCTGCTATAGGTTCACGTCGGCACACCCATTGACCAGTGCGTTGCCAACAATGACGCTCGACTGCGCCGAGACGCCAGAAAGGAAACAGACCCAAATACATCAGATGCGCAGACTTCCAAACCCCAAGATACCCCCGCACTCGACTCCGCAGAGTCTACCGAGGACAACGAGGAGGCTTACCCACCTGAACTGCTCAACAACCTCATCTTCCGCTACGAGGAACCAAGCACCCACAGTCGCTGGGATAAACCCCTGTTTACAGTGCCCTGGGACGATGCAGAACCCCCGGTAGCAGACATATTCGAGGCCTTGACAGGCGTAGTCCTCCCATCAACCGAAGGCCCTACCGAAACACCCATCCCAAGCCTAATGGACTCCCTCGCATCTACTACAATCTCAGACGTCGCCAGCACAGCAACAGGTACTCGAGGCGGCGGCCGCAGCGGGCTCTCAACACGCGCCCGAATCATCCCACACCAAGCCACCGTGCAAGCAGCGGCAACAGACTCGAATGCAATGTATGCAATGGAAAAGCGGACGTCGGCGGTTGTGACTGCAATCCGCAATTTCACGCAGACCTACCCGTCCGCTGAAGTAGCGCTTGCGCAGAGCAGTCGCGTCGATGCAATTGCCATTGACGTTCCGGAAGCAACTGTTCCCATACTTGTTCCGTCCCATGTTGCCATGTCTGGAACGACGGACGAACTTGCCGCTGCTGGTGGTATTCTGGCTTTGCCGCGGTTGCAGAGGCTACGCAGACAGTGGATCAGTTTGAACAGATCGTATATTGGCCGAGGTCATGGTGGTGGAGGTGGTCAGCTGGCGGCTGATCAGATTGGGGATGCGTTTGTGAGGTTTCTCAATGCTGAGTTCTCGGGTGTGGTTGCGGAGGCTTCTGAAGAATAAATACTTTACCTTTAAGATCAGATAGATTAGATGTCTTTTTCATTAGAAAAAGTCAGTTGGTTATGAGACAACGAGGTTATGACTTGGATACGCTTCAGATCTACATGGACGTTTTAAGGATTGTAAGGTAGAAAAAGTCATTTGAAACAAAATACAAGAACGCAACACCTATCTCTATCAATATCAAATCAAACCCAACCAATTGTTGGACAATACATGGCTATATCTGTCATTCTTCTTTTTTGAGACACTGTATCCCGCTTTGCTGTTTCATCCGCATAAGTTTCGGGTCTTGTGTCAATGGGATGGTTTTTTCCATGGATCTGGAGCCCATGAAGCTAAGAAGCCCTTGGTACTGAGTCCAGATCCCCATGTGGTGAGCAGCTTGAGATCGGGGGCAGATCAGAAGCTCTCAAGCGTGGGGTGGGGTTCCACGCTGGGTCCTATCCAGTTCCTGGCCGTAATATCCATGTTGGATTCGGATTGTCCCTGTCTGATGGGATCAGGCTGAAACAATCCTTTGGCCGAAGTCCACTTGTGTACGCGTGAGCGATCGCACCGGGTTCCTCCATATATTGAGAGTGCCTGGCCAGCAAGCAGCACGGTCTAGCCGCGGAGTAAAAAGGAAATCAAGAAAAAGTCCTCCCGTGAAGTTTGTTCATATCGTTCAAAAGAAAACCGCTGTTCTCCTCCAGGAAGGAGGCCTACAGCTCCTCGACCCTTCAAGGCAATCCATTGGGCATGTGGGAAACAGCCTGGCTAGCCTCAATATGGCGGTAGTTCAGACCCAAGGTGAACAGTTCCTGGAAACTAGCGTTGACCTTCTCGTGCATCGCGGTATCTTGGGGGGAAATGTTACTGAGCTCCTCAAGCAGGCGAGAGCGGCACTTGAAAAAGTTCTGCTCGGCATTCTGGAGGCGCTGTCCAAGGCTGGCAGAGGTCTGGGCGGCCTTGATGGAGCTAGCCTGGGAATGGACGGAGCGAGTGCGCTTCATGGTGGGAGCGGGGGTGGCACCAGTGACTCTTCTCTTGCGACCAGTGGGTTCCTTCTTCTTGATCTGACCAGCGCCGGGCGAGGTCTCTGGCGAGCTGTGGCGCTCGGAGGTGGCATAGTCATGCACGCGACGCATGTGGTCGTAAAGGTTCCATCTCCTTGGGAAACCATTTCCTGGAACGGCGCGTTCACAGCCCTCCCACAGGCAGAGGTGCGGGTTATCTCCATGGCCATGTAATCCGTGGGCTTCACGCTCGTGGCGGAACAGACACGCGTTGGAAGAAAAGCGCAGCTGGGCATCAATGCAGGCTGGAACCTTGCAGCGGTAGGGCTTCAGGTGGGAATCCAGGTACTTGCTGTTAGTCGATATCAGTTAGCTGGGTTCAGACTACACCAAAGGTTTATCACGGGAGGACTTGCTGGTAAGCGCATTTTTGCGTGGTGGGTGGGTGGTTGCAGGGCTTCTCTCCAGTGGCAAATGGGCAATAATATTTTCCATCGCTGTGGGTGGACATGGAATAATACTGGTGCTCTCGCGGGTTGCGAGCCTCAACACCTTCCTTGGATCTCTGGCGGGTTGGCTCTCTGACTGGGAGAGTGGGGAAG